CTTAGTTAATTACCTGTTTGATCAAAGTTGCATTGTCAGTCGGAGGAATCGACTTTTGTCCAAAAGCAGAGTCACAAAAAAGGGACATAGATTCATCTTCCCTCAACAACTCATCGACAATGGAATCCACATATCTATTCAATGCATAAGGGCTTACAATCACTATAGTTGAAATTCACAAAGCTGGAGTATTGAACTGACATTATTCTCTGCAAATAAAATAAAGAACATTAGAAATCATAAAGAAATTAGATGATCAAGGATAGTTAAAAAATAGATGTTCAGAAGTTTGTAGCTCACACTAATAGTTTTCCTAAAATTCTTTGGATCCTCCTGGTCCTCAAACGGGTAAGCACCAACCAACATAACATAAAGAGTCACTCCACATGACCATACATCTGCCATATGAAAAAGGAATACAATCCTAAAATTAATCAGAAACATAAAATGAGAAGACTTTATATCTATGCTTTGGAAAGACTTAAAAGAAATCCATACCTCAGTTTCTCTTTGCCAAATATCTTAGGAGCTATTGCTTTCATGATCGTTAAAATGAAAACCTTCATGATAAAGTGCACTACTAGTAGATATCCAATCAATTGATAAATATTATGAGCAATTGATCTTTAACCAAGCTTATAATCACCCTTAACAATTCTTAAAATATTATCAAGTAACATCTGTCTATCTTTATTCTTTAGAACAGTAAGTTAAGGCATCAACTACTCCATCATAAAACTATTTAGCATAATAATACAATCATAACTGAAAAACCCTAGCCTTGTAAACAAGCCACTATCAACAATATTTGAACAAAAGTAGATAAAGACTAAAGTACCTTGCCATCATATTCTCTCCGAGAAAGAACTTCGGGTGCAATATAAGCTAGAGTTACGGTTTAGAGTTTAGAGCTTCTATTCAATAGGCAAACACATGAATCGTATTCAATAGGCAAACACATGAATCGTATTATGGAAGTGGCTTGCACTTGGAGACGAAGCAAACACAGAGCCAAAGAATTGGGAAAATTGATTCATAATTCGAAAATGATTATGGAAATCCGGGGGACTTACGGTTTAGAGTTTAAAGTGAATATACTATGATATTACCCGGCTGGTTCCTCAATATCGAATTTAGAGTGAAAAAGAAGAAGCAAAGACCAAGATTGATCCCAACAGAAGTTAAAAGAGCTGAAAGAATCTTCTTTCCAAAGACAGCTTTGATATACCAGCCTCTATAAGATTATTAAACACAACAGCTCTGTTAGGATTTTCGGAAGCTCGAATCGACAACCGGAACGGTTTGCAAAGAGGGGTCGGAACGGTTTTTTGTTTAGGGAGTAAGGAGATTGAAAGATAGAGAATTGCACAGCGATTTATAATGGTTCGACTTTCTCAATCAAAGTCTACGTCCACTACCTTAGCTCCTCACCAAGGATTTTCCAACAAATTCACTAATTTGTTCTTTCTTTTGAGGATAAAGAGTAACCTTACAAACTCCCTAGTTTTTCCGGGTTAAACTAGAACCTTTCCCTAGCTTTTACACGGGATTAGCTAGAACCTTTCCCCTTTACAAAAGGATAAGAAATGTAAACAAGAAAACCTCTCTAAGGTAGGTGTTTAGAAGATTGAGCTCACAAGAACAAAATATATATACAAGAGAAAGATGAAATAAGAATGAAAAATTCTTCTCTTGTGTTTGATTGCTTGGATAGTTGTTCTCTTGCTTCTTCAAGTGTCCTTAGCTTGTATTTATAGCTTGGAATGTGTTTGAAGTCATATCTAGCCGTTGGAGATGTTTTGGAGCCGTTTGGGAATGATTTTTCTGCAAAAATAGGATGCCCAGAATGGGGGGAATCGGTACCCCTTTATAGGGATTCGATACCCCTTCATAATATTCAAATATTATGACCGTTGGGCTGATGAACAGTGAGGGAATCGGTACCCCTTGGGGGGAATTGGTTCCCCTTTTACATACTGGAATTTTTAGCCTCGGGTTACTGTTCAAACAGTGATTTACTGTTCAAATAGTAATTTACTGTGCAAATAGTAAATTACTATTCATAAAAACATTTTTGTGCTCAATTTTAAATTAAAAGAACTTTGAATTATTTTTGTAAATTTTGAATAAATTCAATTAAGTCCAAATACATTTTGTAAATTCAATTCAAGTCCAAAAACCATTTTGCCTTAAATTGTTATATCGAAACATAGTTCAACAAGCTCAATTGCAGTCCTCGACTGCCCAAACCAAATTCCCTGATTCAAAATTTAGAAAATTGTGTCAAAAATCTCAAAACCCAACATAAAAGCGAACTTAAAACATAAAACTGATCAGCAAAGGAAACACAGGAAAATGTTTTTGCTATCAAGATGAAAAAGGACATCACTTTATGAACATTTTTTTAACTTTTTAAACTAATTGTTTGGTTAGTGTTTTGATTTGCAATGTGTATCAAAAACCCTTCATGATTCTACACGGTTTTACTTCACAAATAATTCAATAACTAATATCAAGGTAAAACCACGAGCAAAGCTAAGGATTTGCTTAAGATTGAAACGGAACAACCAAAAACCCATAAAAGAAATCTATGTTATAACTCAGTTTGATTATGCCCTAAAACCCAGAAAATAAATCTAAAAATAAACTCCTTACAAAGAGAGAGTGAGAAAGAAGACCTAGTTTAGACTTGCAGAATGAGATGAAAAGGTAAAAGTGGGGCGCAACAACACAAACCTTGGCTTGCACTTGGAGACGAAGCAAACACAGAGACAAAGAATTGGGAAAATCGATTCATAATTGGAAAATGATTATGGAAATCAGGTGTGGACTTACGATTGAGAGCTGAGGAGGAGGCGGATAAATGATATGATTGAGAGGCGGATACTGGTCCAGGAGATAAGGCAAAAACATGTACTCGGTTCCCTGGTACCCTTTGATCCCATCCGATGTTCGCATCTCAGGGCCGAGACCGCACAACACGAAGTACTCAAATAAGCTATATACCTTCATAGTTCATCGCCATTTCTTTCCAATGAATACTGGAAGCTGTGCAACAATTCTTTCATCTCCACCCATGTCTTTATGCAACAAATCCATTAGTTCCGAATGAACATATATTTCTGACTTAAGCTTCCATCTGCTTGAAACAGCTGCATCGACATTCTCTTCATCACAATTTTCTATCAGCCATAACCAAGCGGGGAGAAGGGTACTTTAGACAACGGGACCGGGAGTAAACAAATACCTAAGAGAGGTGGGGGTATGACATTCCCGGGATAGCATGAAAAAAATACCACTGTTGGTATTCATTCATTCCCTGCACTTGGGAATGTAGACCATCCAAACATGGGTATATTTACCCGGAAAAAAATATTCCTTCCGGGAATGAAATATGGCGTGAACCAAACGGAGCCTAAGGTTAAATGAATATTCCCCGTGTACATATATATATATATATATTGTAGATGTAATTGTTTGAATTCATGACCTCTAAAAAATCAACATTTTATTTTATTTTGGATAAACTCGTTTATTGACTTGTTTATAAACTTGTTTATTGACTCGTTTATAAACTTGTTTATTGACTCGTTTATAAACTTGTTTATTCGGTTCTCTTTTTCTTTTTATTTATTTTTTACATTTTAAATATTGAAGAATGTATAAACCAAATTGTACATAAGATAGATTTTGAAGTTGGAACTATAAAATCTAAGGAATTTAAAGACTAATGATGTAATTTCATTATTTTTTATTTTTTGACTTGCAATAAAAGAGTGTTGGTTGTTGAATATTGGACGAACATGTTTACGAAGGTTAAATGAATATTCCCCGCGTACATATATATATTATAGATGTAACTATTTGAATTCATGAACTTTAAAAAAACCAACATTTTATTTTATCATTTAGATCACTTTTAATAAATTTAAAATAATTAATAATATTACTATATGTAAAAAATTATGTGTTCATTTTCTTAGTTCACAGGTACATTAGTTTTTATTTATGTATATTATTAAACTCATACAAAATGAGATAATACAAGTATCTTTGACCATTCGATTAATTAGTGGAGTTAAATAATATATTTTTATTTAAAAGAGGTGAAAATCAGAATTTACAATTAATAAAATATTATCCTTCAGAAATTAAAAGAATATAAAACCTAATTATAAATTGAATAGACATTTATTTTATATATGGTATAAATAATCAATAATTAAAAGATTCGAGTTTGGTGTTGATATATCTTAGTTAATAAAATCTTTTTTTTAAGTTAAGTGTAATGCATATTTATTTACAATAATATAGAAAATAGTTTATAGCTATTTATTAGGATTTTATTAAACTGAGTACTCAATCTATGGCAAGTGAGCAATGAGCATTCAAGTTGAGGCTAGAGGTTGATTATTGTTGACGAAATAAAGTGATTTTTGATTTTTTTTATTTAGATGAAAAATTATAATCGGTACTTGTATAATATTATTTGATATTTAAACTTTTTATTTTTATAAAAAGGTAGAGGAGTGAAAAGTAAATAGAATGATTCTAGATCATTCTCTCAATTTGGATCAATAGATTTTATAGCAATCTTTAGTACAAAGAGGTGTATTGACATGACGACTACTTATATATTGGTAGACTCTATAAATATTACTGATTGATAGTATGTTTTAACTTTAATTGATCAAGAGGTTGCTACTAATCAAGAGATACAAGACTCTTAAAATCTTGTGTTGATTTTTGATTTTTTTTGGTTGAAATTTTAATATGAAAAAAATATTCGAATATCAATTTTATAAAAAGATTTATAATAATTATCGAACTAAAAATGGTTAAATTGAACTTTTGATCATCGAAATTAGTTCATCCAAGGATGATTAAAATATTTTTGAAAATTTGGTTTGAATTAATTAATTAACTGAACTTAATAATAATGAATATTATTTATTACCTCGATACAAACACACGACACTTAAGCGCTGCGTTTATCCGTACAGCCCAAATAAAAAGCCTTAAAATAACCAAATCATCCCAAAACGAAACCCTAATCCCCAAAAATACTATATTAAATAGTTAGGTGCCGACTAATTATATTTTTCTGAGCTGCTGCTTTTGAAACCAAAAGAAAAAAGAGAAGGAAAAGGAAGATTTTCTAATTTGCCATGGCGGACAAGGCAGTGACTATTAGGACAAGGAAGTTCATGACCAACAGGCTCCTTTCCAGGAAACAATTTGTAAGTTCAGTTTCCTCTATTTCTACTCATTTGCCATTAATTATCTCGGTAATCAGTTATGTGTCAATTTTGGACTTCAATTCTTGGGTTTAGTTTGAGTTTTTAGATCTAATTAAAGAAAGAAATTTGAAGAACATAAGAGAAAGAATTGTTGGTTTTTTACTAGCTTGCTTGTAAGATGTTAATTTAGGGGTTTTTTAAACAAAAAATATTTGACTTTTTCCTTGATCAAATTGAAGCCTCGAGATATATATATTTGGGAACTGTAAATCAAATACGATTATTCAGCCATGAGTGAGTGTCCGACATAGCTACGATTGAATTTTTCCAATAACTTTCAAGTATTTCGAGGATCATACCTTCGTACCATGTCCAGATAAATGATAAGTCGAAGCAATATAGCTATTGGCTTGTATTTATTTGACTTAATTGCTACTCTGGCATCATATGTTAATTAAATCGTTTCTTTTTCTGGTAGGTCATTGATGTCTTGCATCCTGGGAGACCCAATGTTTCCAAGGTAAATCTTAATGTTTCTCATTGAAGTTGGCAGGTAAATTTGGGTTGGTGTTAAATATGTTCTTGATTTGTTGATGTCGGGTTGTTAGGTGGAGCTGAAGGAGAAGCTTGCTACAATGTATGAGGTCAAGGACCCAAATTCGATCTTTGTGTTTAAGTTCAGGACTCATTTTGGAGGTGGTAAATCTACTGGATTTGGTTTGATTTATGATTCGGTCGAGAGTGCAAAGACGTATGAACCCAAGTACAGGCTGATCAGGGTAATTTGCTATGTTGTTTTTATACATTTTCTCTGGATTTTGCATGTGGTTTATGTTGCCTTAGTATCCTCAAAATGCATAGAAGCATTTAGAAAATTGTCCCTACTCCTGTTGGACATAGACTTGTAACGCACAATTCCATTTGAGTCCAAGTAACATGGTTTGAATTCTAGTTGTGAAACTGTAGAGTTTAGAATCAACTTCGAAGGGAGCAGATACAATGCAAGACACTAATTATTTATTTCATATTTTCAGAATGGACTTGATAAGAAGGTGGAAAAATCAAGGAAGCAAATGAAGGAACGGAAGAACAGGGCTAAGAAGATCCGCGGAGTGAAGAAGGTAAGATTATTTGCTCTTTTATGATAACCTATTCGAACTGCTTTTAGTTGCACTTAAAACACAGCCAATGAGACTGAATCTTCTTACCATTTTGCTTCTTCAATAGACCAAGGCCAGTGAATCAGCAAAGAAGAAGTAAGCTAGAAAGTTGGGGAAAATAGAAACGGCTGAGAATGTGCTCATCTTAACCCAATGTTTGTCGACGGCAATGCTTAACTTGTCCAAAGGTTTTAGGTGTTCTTAAAACCTGCATTTTCAAGGAACTTGAGTTTGGTTGTTATTATATCTTATTTAGTAGTATCTGATTATCATGCTTTGAAATATTCAGTGTGATGTAACTTTTTTCCTTATAATATAGAAAATATGTTATAGCTATTTATTATGATTTAATTGAATGAGTATTCTATCTATAGCATGTGGACAATGGGCATTCAAGTTGTGTATAGGGGTGCACAGAGTTTGGCTAAAATTGATCGACCTAAACTAGTTCAGATAATTGATCGGCCATCAATGTAAATTCGGTCTTGAATCAATTAACTGAATTAATAAGGATAATAATAATAATAAATATTACATGTATATATAAGCTCAATATGCACGCAGGCATTTACCCAAATTGACTTGAACAAAGAAACACTAAATGTTCGGTTTGATAATTATTTTCACAAATTATTCGTTTTCAATAATAGATAAATTTTTTAAAATTTTGGTTCATTCAATTGATAATAGTTTGGTTAGATCATTTGAACATTTAGGAATAGTATTTGGCTTGGCTATATGCAAATTTTGATTTGTACAAATTTATAAATCAATCTAAAAATTTGAATTTATTTTTCTTTCAATTATGCGATTATAATATCGAATCTAAATTTGAATGAAATATTATTACCGATCAGATATTTGAATTTGTAAAAGATTAAATTTAAAATTTATATTATATGTCAAATATTTAAATTTGTACAAATCTAAATCCAAATTTGCTAAAAGTTGCATGATCAAGTTTCAAATCCTACTAAAAGTAACATCTTTTCGATTTTGTAATCTGCAGCTGAATTCAGATAATGAATATCTGTGGTGTATCTGTATATAGGGGTGTTCAAAATTCAGTTTTAACCGAATTAACCGATCGAATTAAATTAGTTCGGTTAATTCGGTCGGCCACCGAATTAGTTCGGTCGGGAAACGATTAAGAATGTTTTTTAGAATTCGGTTAACGGTTAATTTGGTTCGAAATCGGTTAATTAATCGAATTAACCGAATTAACATTTAAATATAATTATATTAAGAGATTTAGCATGCCCAATCCATTTAAATCTCATTTAAAACCCAAATCAATATTAATTAATTAAAATAATCTCAATACTAAATGCAAAATGTTTGAATCAAATTAATTAGATATTATTTAAATTAATTGTAAATTGTTTTTAATTAAAAAATATTAAATTCTAAAATTCTAAAAAAATTCGGTTAATTCGAAAATTAACAGAATTAACCAAAATTTATTTGGTTCGGTTAATACTTTCAAAAAAAGTTCGGTTCGGTTAACGGTTAAAGAAAAAAAAGTTTGATTAATTCAGTTAAGGGTATTTCGGGGTCGGCCACCGTTTTAATCGAATGAACACTCCTATTTGTATATGCTACAAATATGTAGCGAATAGTAATAAGGGTAAAGTAAACTAGAGATCACTGAATATGCTCAAATGATTGTTTTGGTCATCAAACTTTTAAAAGTTACAAAATGATCTTTATTTTTTATATAGTTACAAAACAATCATTTTTTTGAACTATTACAAAATGTCATTAAATTTGATCAAAATGTTACAAAATGATTATTAAATTTATCAAAATTTTGTGATTTATTATAATGTTATAGTGACGTTTTGTAACAATTAAAAAATTTAATGATCATCTTGTAACTTTTGAAAGTTAATGACTAAAATAATCATTAGCATGATTCATTAACTGCTAGTATACTTTACCATATTAATTATAACATTTGAATCCCCAAATTATTTTAATATATAATCCAAATTGCCACCCATATATATTAGCCTAATAAAATCTACTGTTACATAAAATTAAAATTAAAAATATGAATATATATATATATATATATATATGAATATGATCAAATTAAAAAATGTGAGGGCATAGGTTAAGAAATTCTATCTGTCATTTAAATTATGATAAAGTTGTCAAAAATAAATATATACGGTTTTTGTTTAAAGGTTATGTTCGGATTTTGTGGCGGTCTCTCCTAATTATATAGTATTTAATTGAAGATTTCTTTTATTAATTTAAGATTTACTCATATCTTTTATCAATTTAAGATTTACTCATATCTTTTATCAATTTAAGATTTACTCATATCTTGTATGAAAGAATAAAATAGGCTTAATTAAGAAATAATTATTCAAATTTTATGTTATTTCATTTGGGTATTTATTTTTAGTTAATTTATAATTTTTAAAATTTATTTCAGTTTAAAATTTTTATGTCCATTACAAAAATATCGTATTTAAAAACATAGTTTAAACATTTGTTTTTTAAATAACTTTTAAAAATATAAATGATATATATATATATATATATATATATATATTAATTTGAAATAGATACAAAACAATATATATTTTAAAAAATACATTCATTTATTTTACATTAAACGTTTATATCCTGACATTTATGACACTTAAACATAAGACATAAAAAAATAAAAACAATTCATTTATTAAGGATGTCATTATAAAGGATAATTTAAAAACATAATTTCAAGATAATAAAAGTAAGGCTGAAAAGGAGACAAGTGACGTGGACATGTAAATTTTAACGTGGCAGAATATAAATGGTTCGGCACCCTCTCCTATAGAAACGACGTGGACATGATTGCCTAAATTCTTACGTGGCACAATGTAAATGGCTAGAATACTTCCAATTTTGAAAATGACGTAGCACGATCCCTATATATATATAATTTCGTACGGTCACTTCCGATCACTCTTGAGACAATAGTAAAAACGCGCCTTTTGTTTCTGCAACATTTCGCCATTAAAATTTTCATCCCCTAATCCTAATCCATTTCCTCAATTTTCTTTTTCAAAACCCTAATCAACATTAATCCAGATTTAAAACCTTAATCATCACAGGTTAATAGTCTTTTGATCCTCTTTAATCTCAGGTTTTACTCTTCATTTTTCCCGTTCAATAAATTTATCCTTTTCATTTTTATTTATTTTGGATTAATAATAAAATCTCTTAAGAACAGTGTCATTTAGATTAATTGCATGTATTGATTTCGTAAATAAAATGAAAATGATTCTATAGAGCATGTTCTTTTTATGATAATCTAGGAAGCAGAGCGACATTTGTATCGTTAGATTGGCGTAAGTTTTCTGGTTTGATTTTATCATGTTTATGATAATTGCATGAAAAAAGTTTGTTAAATTTTGTTCTATTTATTATGATGTACGATATGAATTCAGGTTTATCATATTGAGGATTGTAGTGATTATAAATAAAAAAATGTAAAATGCATAAAAGAATATATCGTTGTTTTTATGTATATTGTTTATTGTTTTGTTAATGCTTCGATTTGAATTTTTCCTTTTTATGAGAAGAAAAGGTTGAAAACGAGACACGAACGGTGGGAATGACAACTCCTATGCCACCAGGGGCACCAAGGCAACACCCACCTCAGACTCATAATCCAAATTTGCAGCAAAAATCAGATTCTTTACCAGATAATTTTCAGAATTTGAATCTGAACATGACATCTCCGTCGCTTACCTCGCATATAAGGTCACCACCAACTACCTCTACCTCAGTTCCTTCACAGCCAATTTCCCGCCCTGGTGCACCTCCTCCAGAGATTGTTCCTGGACACAATGTGCCTCCAAATATGGGTTCAGTCAGGCCATTTCGGCCACCAGGTGGACAACCTTTGCCTTTCGGGACTAGACCACCTCCGGGGTCTTTGCCTTCTTCAATGGGTGGCGGTCCTATAATCACTCCAGGAGGTTCAAGTGCATCTGGACTGGGAGGTCGACCAAGTGCTTTTGGTGGTTCGATTAGAAATAGTCCACCTGCTGGGGTGCCTCCACCAATGATGGTGGCTGGTAGGCCTCCTGGTCAGGCCTCTGGTATGGTGCCTTTTGTTGGGAGTCTTCAGCTGAGTCGTAGGCCAGGTCCTCCTATGCAATCGGCTTTGCCATTTTCAGCTCCATTGTCTGCTCCTTTTGGGACATTGACATGGGCACCTAGTCAGGTGAGCACTTTATCATGGCTTATATCAGTACATAGAATTTTCTTTATATCATGCTGGTTGCCAAGAAGTTGTGTGTCTATGTGGTATATTCAAAAACAGATTTATAATAAAGGAAATATAGAATTTGCAAAATGAGGATATATGAATTCCTCTTTTAAAATAGATAGTTAATAGCTTTAATTGTGACAGATTTGGGGCTTGTTGGTGCAGTAGTGCAATGTAGAAACATAAGATGTTGCAAAATAACCGTTTAGGATATAATATTGTGCTATTGTGCAGTTCCGTGGTTCAATAGATGTAAAATATACCCAATTTAATAGCAGTTAACTTCTATGTTACTTGGACTTTTATGTGACTTTTGGATACGGTTATGTACTCGGCACAAATATTGTTAGGTTTTTCTAAAATTTTCCATGTATTTGAATATTCATGTGTCAGACATGGGTGCTTCAAGAAAAATGAAGAGTCCAAACAACATAGGTTAACTTAAAGAATCTTGGTCAGATATTTCTTTCTGCACTATCAGGGCTTCACCACTCGGCAGAGATCTATAATGGAATTGACAGTTACTATTTTTTACATTGCATTGCTGGTTATTGTGAAAGATAATGAAGTGGCGTTTCACATCGTTTTAATATACAAGTATTCCAATGTTAAACTTGGGTAAAAGCTTATAAAGGTGCATATTATACGAGTAGGTACTACATTGCTTGTTCTTTTAACCTCAAGAATTTGAGGATATCTTCTGGTGTGTGTATTTGCTGTAAATGAAAGTGACACTTCCTTATTTGAACAAAATTCTTCTTTTTCTCCTCTGAATGTCTTTAGGTGGCTCCAGCTACAGCAGCACCTGATTCTGTTCAACCACATAGAATGTTCGGAATGCCGCCACCTCAACCAAACCAAGTATTACCTTCCATTGATCAAACTGGTTCTAGCCTGGAAGACGCATGGAAGATTAATTCAAATCAAGTTCCAAGGCCCACTCCAAGTTCATCTGTAATTCAGTATGACACTCATCAGGGCAATCAAGCCAATACCCCTCCGGTATTGCACTGATCTCTCAAAACTTAAAAAAAATTCTTCTTATTATTACTACTTATTTGGTCGAGTATTATTTTATTTTCTCTTTCTTATTACATTCGTCCCCCCCCCCCCATTTCTGCTATTCTTGTTTCTTTAATTTGAATTCTATTGATGTTATTCTGGTATGGATACTTTGTTTCCTTGAAAAGCCTGCTACTAGTGATTACATTGTCAAAGACACTGGAAGCTGCAGTCCCCGCTATATGAGATGCACAATCCATCAGGTTACAGTCAAACTTCTGATGTCAAATTAATGACAATTAATTTCTTCTTTCAATAAGACTTTTGTATGCAAATATTTTTATCACTAACTTGATCTCCTTCATTATGTTTGACAGATTCCTTGTACTGCTGACCTTTTAACAAATTGCGGTATGGAATTTGCCTTGATGGTTCAGCCGTTGGCCCTTCCTCACCCACATGAAGAGCCCATTCCGGTATTTTATTATTTCTTGTGAAATTTTACGTGCTATGTATGGTATTTTCTGTGGCTCAGGTTTCTTTTTTATTTATTCCTCAGAGGATCAAAGTGAAAACAATTATTTGATTTCTCTTACGAGAATTATCATGGCACAAATATGATACACAAAATTTATCGGTGAACAACTAGGGGATGTTGTATTAAGTGAAAAGACTTCCCACCGTCATCAATTGTTGACATTTTCTTGATGCTGTGAATTTGGATGCATGTGCATGAGAGGACCTCCTCCACATTTTTCTCTGAAAGAACTTCTTCCTTTTAGGCTATTTGCTGTTTGTATAAACCTGCTTGTTAGTTGTTGGCTTATCTCATGGGTGATTATATCCACCTTTCTTGTTCGCCATGAATGCTTTCTATATCCTAAAGTATTACATAACCCTAAAATTCTGCAATTAAACCCTCTTCCACCCAAAAGGGGTTGAAAATTCATCCATTTTTTAAATATATATTATTTTTGTATTTATAGGAAGCAAAAATTTTTAATGGGAATGAGAGCATTTAATTATTTTCTTTGATAAAAAATGGTTTTCAAGAAATTGATTCAGTTTTGGCAAAAGTTACCTTGTCAGACTAGGGTGCCTGAAAAGAATGTTAGTCTGCAATATGATACACTTGGTACCAAGCTGCAAAGTTTCCTAAAACCTAAGTGCACTATTTCAAATAAATATAAAATTTGTTAGAAACTGAAAGGAATTAAGAGTTTATGATTCACAACAAGGGAACAAATTTGGATCACCTCCAACTTTAAAATTATACAGTTTTAAATAAATTAACAGTTGAAAATATACATATATTTTTGCTATTTAAACTTTTTTTATTCTAGGTTGTGGATTTTGGTGAACATGGTCCAATTCGATGCTCTCGTTGCAAAGGCTACATAAACCCTTTCATGAAGTTTACTGATCATGATAGGCAATTCATCTGCAACTTTTGTGGTCAGTATCGAATGTTGCTTCTGTTTCGTTCTTTTGGTCAAGAATTTATAATTCCTGAGACATATTGCTTTCTAAAGTTAAACAATTTTAAATCTTCTGCTGTTATCGGCAATAAAGAGATTGATTTTTGTAAAGAGTCTTGTCATGTACAGGTATCAATAATATTAGGATTACTACTTTGTTGATTTTGCTATATTATTCCTGCTGCACTTGTTTTGGGAATTGAACTTCTGAAATTTGGTTTTAACATTTCTCTTTTTTATTCTAGGATTTATTGGTTCCACTCCCCATGAGTATCAATGCAATCTAGGTCCAGATGGTAGGCGTAGAGATGCTCACGAGAGGCCTGAGCTATGTAGGGGAACTGTTGAATTTGTTGCTACTAAGGAATATATGGTTAGTTAATTAATTAAACTTGCTGGCTCTACAGTACCTGAAATTAAGTTTTAACCTATTTTTTTCTAAGTTCAGTTATTATATAAGTTTGGCTTCTCCCATCTGTTATAGTGTGTAACAATAGATAATTATCCATGCGCTCCATGAAGCTTGACACGCTCGAAATCAACATGACTTTTGGCTCCATTATATATCTATTTTACTTTTCCAGCCATGTTATTTTGATCTTGTGATGGTGTCATTAACCCCTCATATGCTTATATGGCTTTCAAAAAGCCTTTCTTTTTAACTTAAGCTTTTGATTTTGTGTATAGCATGTGTATGGTTGTAACATTTACTACTTAATTTGTGTTTATAATAACACCGCCTTTGCTTCTCATACTTTTTCTCCTATTAATTTTTCTGGTTCTTCAATCAATGTAATTCTCTATTACATTTATCTTAATTTTCAGATGCGAGATCCAATGCCTGCAGTATATTTCTTTCTCATTGATGTTTCCAGGAATGCAGTACAGACCGGTGCAACTGCTGCAGCATGTGCTGCAATCAGCCAAGTCATTGCGGATCTTCCAGTGAGTTTTAGGCTGTGTTTATTAACGTGATTGAATTTGTTCCCAGTATCTCTAGCATTCATAAACTTATTTAAGATTATAAGACTGCTATACAGTCTAAAAATTGTGGAGTTGAATCTATGTCAACATGAAAAATGGTAGGGAAGTAGTTTCCTCCAAGTTCAAGGGAAAGAATCAAAAGTCTTTTTCATTTTCTTATCTTGTTGATGGTTTTATGAAAAAAATGTTGAGAATAATTCACAGATAGAAGTCATATGGTTGGGTGTCCTGCAATTGTCTGAACTCATTACTATGCATTCTTTTGTAGAGATGAAGTGTTAGAATATATGTTAATGTTTTCCGCATTATTTTAGGCTATATTTTAGGGATTATAATAGAGTTATGTTTTGCATAAAAATAGGACCAACTTAGAGTTGTTTTCCTTGTTAAATACTCTTTCGATTAGTATAATACCTAGCAAGCACGGAGAATAATCAAGCTAATTTTTATAAAAAAAACCATTTCTTCTTTCTTTTCTTTTCTTATATTTTTCTACCTCTTTCAGTTAACATGAAGTTTAACTTTCTTTCTCTAGTCATGAACTGATAGCATCCTCCCAGTTTGTATTAAAAATTGAACATAAAATAGATCATATTTAAGAGTAAGTAAAAGGATTCTATGAAAGCAACGAGCTTTATCTTGTTGGATAATAACTGTCGGACTTGCTGTTTCTCATCCTATTGTTGAATAAATCTGATGTATTGTGAAAGTTACCATCTTCAATGGTGAACTATAATAATTGAGAGTATGTCCCTTTAGGCCTTTATGGACTTTATTTGTAATGTGTCAAGTAATATATCATTTTGGCATCTGTGCTGCATAATGGCAACTAGAACTGACATTGGTGTAGAACAAGAAACTCAATACTCAAATTTTCTGAAATCCCAATAATTTAATAATCAAAAGTCTCCTTAGACTATTACAACTTGGGTATTCAGGACTGAACTAGTAAAACATGAAGTACTAATTATAATCTTAGAAGTCTAAATTCTAGGGTATTTAAATTACTACTAAATATAAGATAATGTAAATAACCTAAATAAACATAAATATTAACATCAGACTCTTAAAATGTAAAATAGAGTCATAGTTAAGTTAATTTCCCAACTAGGATTTTTTTGTTCTCCGTCACATGGGAGTACTATACTGGTGTGATTCTCCTTTTTGTATTCTCTATTTTGCCTTTTGATCTTCTAATGAGTACACAACCATTCTAATTGCGTGTAAAGAAACTCTCTGCTGAGGAGAAGACCTTCTCTTGGATGTATATTGGACTTTTTTATAGTATAATCCATTTTGTAGCAGGTAAGGTTCATCATCTAATTTAGCTCTAAATTGTTAATGCAATACGTATCTGGTATTCCTGCTTATATTTGGGCTCTTCATCATCCACTGATTTTTTTGTTAGTATTTATAAGATCTATCTTGTGTTGATTCAGTGTGAAGGCTGGATAACTATTGTTTTGGTGTGTCTATTATTGCAGGAAGGTCCTCGGACAAAGTTGGGAATTGCAACATTCGACTCAACTGTACATTTTTACAACTTGAAACGCGTACTGCAACAGGTAACATTTAGTTTTAGTTGCACTAAGTTTGCTATATTTCAAGTTTCAACCCGTCAAATTCTTTTCCTCCCCCCCTAAAGTTCAAATGAGAAATTTCTGCATTTTCCTTCTGGATAAAATTTAAAATATACATAGATTTATTTTTAATATTTCTAGATGAATGGTAGCATATGGAAGTTGTAGGTAGGCCTATTGAGTACTTCATTTTCATGTATTGTGATTTACAAGTTTCAAACCGGTAGAGTTTATACCAAAATTTCATTAGTGTCTTTGGATTTGGTTTCCCTCTATTCATCTTGGATTGTAATGCTTTGTTGCATTGGCAAGTATTTTACCTAGTCACACTTAGAAAGTTTTGGACTAATTTAACTTTCAACTCACATTGCAGCCATTGATGCTGATTGTTCCAGATGTGCATAATGTTTATATTCCTCTTGAAACTGATGTTGTTGTTCAGCTTTCGGAGGTTGGTTTTTCATATTTATGTTTCCGAAACACAAAGGCTGTGATGCCTTTTATGGCTTTATTGGTGCTTAAGTATAAGACTAAAAATGAACTATTTATAAGTTGACTGATTTTTCATCTAGAGTTGCTTTCAATAATGCCTTTCTGTAACATTTGACTGCTGGGAATTTGGGTTTAGTGCCGTCAACATATAGAGCAACTGCTGGAAAGCATTCCAACCATGTTTCAGGACAACAGAACTGCCGAATCAGCTTTTGTTGCGGCAATCAAGGTATTCCCTTCCTAATATCTCATTGTAGCCCAAAGATGCCATATTATTTTCCTTAAAAGGATTTTTGTGCTTTTGTATTATGAAATATTAAGTTTTCAGCTTTTATACTATGATATTCTATTCATAATTGACTTGATAATATCTCATTACACTCTGTTTAACTTTGCTATTGCTTTTCTTATAAATATCAGCCAACTGTTGGAAAAGCACGGATTTTCTGATTCAGTTTGAGTTAAAGATTTTATACTATTCATTTCTTTTTCAGGCAGCTTTCTTGGCTATTAAGAGTTCTGGAGGGAAACTTTTAGTATTTCAATCAGGCAAGTCTATATTTTTACATTTGTATGTTAAGCCTATCTGAATATATACTACAAGTTCAACTCAACAGTTTACAGTGACAGACAAAGGTACAGAAAGAAGCACTTGAATCAGATCAATATTATTTTTTTTAAAGATTAACCAGAAGATTCTTTCACAAAATATTATTTTCCAAGTTTGAAGTGGGTTGATTGAAATTGTCTGAGTGTATTTTTTAACTGTATTTTGAAAAAAAATAGGAATTTAAAGGGTCTTCAAATGCAAAACTTGCCTTTATTTTTCTTTTATGTATTTTCATAGTGAGAGGCTCTTTATTTTATAATTCTTTACATTCTCAAAGTGGATTTCTCTTTGCATTTAGCTTTAGTGTACTTCAAAATTTCATTTTGAATATGCGTATTGTTTGCATAACTAGATATTTTTTGTTGCATTTGAATGAAATGTATTTCTAATGACTGTACCATAAGCAGTCCTACCATCAGTTGGCATGGTTGCACTTTCTGCACGAGATGCTGAAGGAAGAGGTAATATCTCTGCAGGAGATAAGGTAATTATCTCATAAGTTGTTTTTTCCCTCACGATTTTACTGTTTTGTTCTTCTGCTGCATGCTTGAGGTTGTGATTTTTGTTGCTGGGAATGCATATATGTGCTACTTAAGAAATTGGTTCCAGGATTTTCTTATCATATTTAAGTTCTCCAGTCTAAAATCCTTCTGAAAGAAGATTAGAGCATAATGTACTTCTGGCAAACATTTTGAACAATTTGTACGAAAAGATGAGTTATTAGGCTCTACCAGATAATTCTTTTGTTGTAGGTCTGCTTCAAATATGTTAAACTGTGTACTCATATATTTTCATCTTAACTCTATTAACCATGGGTACTACTGAGATTTTGAAGCTGCAAATCATTTTTGCTCTTCAATTGATAGGTATTACTTTTCTGAGTGACAAGTGTTTAACGTAACCCCGTTTTCAGTGGTTTAATTTGGGTTTTATTGTTTCCCAGTTCTAACACCCAGCGTACAAATTTGACGTCTTTATGTTAGACAAAAGAATTAAAAGGAAAAGAAAAGGAGCAATTGGTAGGAACTGGGAAACATAAGTAAATTAAGAATGTAGGATGTTGTATTCCGCTCTTTTTTTTGCTTGTAGTCCAGTATTGGTTCATTTTATTATTAACTAGTGCTGTCACTCTGATTCCCTTTTGTCCTACCAAGTTTTAATTTACTGATTGTTACTTCTTTTTACTTATTCTATATCATATCTTTTGATTTTTTACTCTAGTGATTTTAAATGTTCTGCTATTTTGTGGATTTTAGGAGCCTCATAAACTACTCCAACCTGCAGACATAGCTTTGAAGACATTGGCAATTGAATTTGCCGAGTGCCAGGTGAACTTTTCAATAATTTCTTTTCTCCATGGTATATGGTTAAAAATTCATCCTCTGGGCATTCATTTGTTTCTACAAAGAACTGTATCTTATCAAATTGTTTGAATTTCACAAATACCAGGTCTGCGTGGACGTATTTATCACTACCCAGGCTTATGTTGACATTGCTTCTATCTATGTTATCCCAGGAACTACAGGAGGGCAGGTAATGAGATTCTCTGATTCTTATGTTCTATTACCTAGTAATATGCTGCAAATTATTAGCTCTTGTATTGGAGCTTGCGAGATCTTCTGTCTCTGTCAAAACATGTGAAATGCATTGGAAGATTGCTATAATTTGAAAATCGAGACTATGAAGTGCAATAATAAGCTTTTATGTTGCTTTGTTTTCTTTGTTTATTTCCTTCCTTTTATTATAAATAATGAGGTCATTTGCTAAAATGTATCTCGGGCACAAAAATTTTGCCTGCTTGCTCACACTTATTTTCTTATTTTCCTTGCTCTTCTTTGTCTTTTAAATTCACTTTGTTTTTTCACTCTTTTTCAGGTTTATTACTATTACCCTTTCTCATCCATTTCTGATCCAGTAAAACTTTACAATGATCTTAGATGGAATATTACAAGGCCACAAGGTTTCGAGGCCGTGATGCGTGTGAGATGCAGCCAGGTATCACTCTGGGAGGCCAAAACCTGCTCTGATATAATCCATATCATGTTTCATATGATGCTGTATACTGGAATGTTTATTTTGTTTTCATTTCTGTAGGGTATTGATGTGAAAGAATACCATGGGAACTTTTGCAAACGCATTCCGACGGATGTTGATCTACCAGGGGTGTGTGCTTTTCAATCAATTTCGTTGATGCGTTGTTCTCATTGAAGATTGACCTTGTTTGACAAACTGATTTATGGACCGCTAGAGAGTTAACAATGACCTGTTTAAGCTGTTTACTGATTATTAGACAGTTATAGCGAAGAATATCCGTACATTTTTAGAGAGATTATTATGCATTCTTCTAATTTTTGGTTGGGATGAACAAGGGTAATTTTGATTAAGTCATTAATGAGGTAGTTTTTTTTTGTTGCTTTAATTGGTTTACGTTTGGTATTTATTATTTTTTCCTACAACCAGTCCTATTTCTAGTTTTCTCCCTCTAACTTTGGCGGCTTGCTCATTTAAAAATATAATCCCTGATCCATACTCTGATCTTATGCTGATTGGTTTCTTCTTCTTGGTTCGATGTTTTCTTCTATCCTTACTCTGCTTTTTTAATCAATTTATGCTACTTGTTTTTATGCAGATAGACTCCGACAAAACCATAATGGTAACTTTAAAACATGATGAGAAACTGCAGGATGGATCAGAGTGTGCTTTTCAGGTACCATCTACTTTCATTGCTGGGTATCAGTAACTTCTATCGTAATGTCTTCAGTAGCACTAACTTTTTTATTGAATGATGTTTTTTTATGCTCTAATTCTACCATTCTTTTGTTACCTAGTGTGCTCTTCTTTATACCACTGTGTACGGTCAAAGAAGAATACGGATTTCAACTTTGTCTCTGCCGTGCACAAGAAACTTAACTAACTTGTTCCGATCAATTGACTTAGAAACACAATTTGTTTGTTCTTTGAAACAAGGTAAATTGCACCATCTTCCACTCTGAGTTGGTTTATTCAGTACTGCTATATTTTCCTCCATAATTTTTCATTAAGAATTCGAGGCTGTAAACAGAAATTATAAAAGAATTCTCTCTTATATGCTTAATTTTTTTTACCAAAAGCTGTTTATTTCCTGGCATCTGATATTAAATTTCCACTGGAAGAAAAGTAACTCTATGTGTTTAATTCTCATCTTGCTTTGCCCTCAGTTGCAAATGAAATACCTTATACTCCACTCTTGCAAATGCGGGAACAAGTGACACATATTTGCATCAATAAATTGTTCGCATACCGTAAATTTTGCACTACAGCAACCAAATCTGGACAGTTAATTCTCCCTGAAGCACTAAAGCTGTTGCCTCTATATACTCTTGGTAAATTCCTCTCTACATATTAATTTATTCTTATCCATACTGTTCAGTAACTGACCTTGTGCCTAAAGGTAATTCTCTTTAAACTTTTAGATATTTTACCATTCAAAATGCTTGTATGTGAGTGGTGGTTTTTTGAGCTGTCAAAACTTGCTTTGGAATCAACAGATTCAGTTGGATTACCTCTTAAGGCTGGGGATTGATAAATCTGTTTTCTTCTTTTGCTAATTCTTTTCAGGACTAACTAAAAGTACTGGACTGAAAACTGATGGGAGAATAGATGATCGGTCTTTCTGGATCAATTATGTGTCCCACATTTCTATTCCTTTGGCAGTTTGCCTAGTGCTTCCTCGGATGATTGCTGTTCATAACCTTGATCTCCATAAACCGGTCTGCCTTTTATTATCATTATTATTGGGTTTGGAGGGTTCCTTTTTTGCAAAAATATCTTGACATCATTTCTAACTTTTTGCTTGTTTTCTTGTTTGTTTGTTGACAGGAAGGGACTGAATCTGTTATTCCTCAAATGCTTCCTCTTTCAAGTGAATATGTGAGTGAGGAGGGCATTTATCTTCTTGAAAATGGTGTTGATGGCTTAATATACATTGGAAGCTTGGTGGATTCAAATATATTGAGACAACTATTCGGTTTTTCTTCGGTTGAAGAAACACCTAACCAGGTAATTATGTTTCGATGATCTAAATATGTCTTGATTTTATCAGAATTGGAAGAAAAAAGATAAAAAGATAAGTTGCACCTTACGTTTTCCTTCAAACAAAATTATAAAGTTGGGCGCAGGATTTGAACTTTTGTCCTAGTTAAATTTTCAAAGAAACCGAGCTTGTTTGCGAATATGTGATCATGTCTGTATATCGGATATACATCCATTTGGTTGCCATACATCTCAAAATTCTGAATCCCCTACCCTTGGTCTAGGTACATAGTTCGTTTTGCCTTGGGATAAATATCAAAATTATGCATTAACTTTGATCCATTGTGCAACGTAATACATAAATATGCAATTGTCTACATGAAATTTGGTTTTAATTTATTTTTCAGAAACCGCTAATATCATATTGCACACTGAAAAAAAAATCATGTGTGATTTTGAGATTCATATTGCACACCTGTTTTATAACCAAAATGTTCTTTTCTCAGTTTGTATTGCAGCAATATGATAATCCATTGTCCAAGAATCTGAATCACGTGGTAAATGATATTAGGCGCCAACGCTGCTCCTACCTCCGGTATGAAAATTTGTTTTTTGGTAGCTTTTATTCTTTGAACTGTGAAAGTTTTAGGTTCCACAATTGAGATTAACAAGATATCTTAATCTCAAGTTAAAAGGTTTCACTATCATTTTATAGATGAACTTTTCTTCGAAACATTTTACCATCGATAACATTGTATAAAGTTATGATATATGTTTCTCGTTTCCCTTGCTTGTGCAGATGGACTTTGTGCAGAAAAGAAGATGCATCAGGTATGTAAAATTTTGAGGTTCAAGAGCTCAATCCAAGCTGTTTACTTTTAAAACTCAAACTCAATCTGAAGTATAAAACAAATTGTTTAAGTTAGCTCGATTAAGCTATTTTTCATAGCATAAATTGAGCTTGATTTTCATTTCAAATTTAATTACTTACGCTAGAGCCTGGGTTCAAATTTAGATTTTCAATTGTCATTAAAAACAGAAAGTTTAATTGGACTTGCAGCCTGATTAGATCCAGCACTAGAATACTCGAATTGCGGCACAATGAATGCTCTAGTTGTTCAAGCTCAAAGCTCAACAATGACTGAACCAAATTCGAGCTTCTTTCGAACTTAACCCGAGTAACTTAGAGAACAAGTATCTTGTTCACACCTTTAGCATCAACACAATTTTGATTAACTAATTAATGGATAAAGTTACTTGAGATGTCAAATGGTATATGCTGCAAAATTGTATAGAATAGTTTCAAGTGAGAATCAAACTATAACTTTGTTTTGTTGAATGAATTGTTCCCAGGAGCATTGTTCATCTCGTATTTGGTTGAAGACGCGAACCAGAAAGGTGGTCCATCGTATTCTGAATTTCTAGTTCATCTCCATCGGAGCATTCAAGCAAAAATATGTTAACAACAAATTCAATCAATGCCGCAAAGGCCAAGATTGAACTCAAAGATGAGATTTTCTTTTCCCCTTCAAACATTTGTTTTCTGGAATTAACACTGTTGATATTATTCTAAAGAAACCTGAATCTTTTTCTTTTATGAGGAAAGAACTAACGCTTTGTGGTAGAACCCAGTGTCAACATTAAGTTTTTCATTTTTCCATTATTATTTAGATTTTTATCTTCTCTTTTCTATTATTTGTATTTTTTATTACTAATAATTAAATTACGTTGCACGTCTCTCTCTAGTATATCTTTATTATTTAGTATATTTTTATTAAATTATATAAATCAATAAAGTAAATGAATGTAACAAAACAAATGTATTAAAATTATTAGTATATAGTTATAAATAGTATATCAATAAAAACATATAATTTTATTAAAATAACATTACATTACAATTATATTTAAAACAAATATAATTTACAAAAAGTATAAAAAATTGCTACATAGCTCAAGAAAACTAGTTGCAATGGGCGCTGCTTTGGCCTGCAAGTTTTCCGAGAGGCACCGGTTGGTGTTGATTGTCACGGGCCACGAATCAAGATTTGAAATTCATATAAATTTATAAAATGTATACATTTTGTACAATATATTATTTATGTTCTTTGTAATTTAAAAAAGATTTATTTTTGAAAAGACTTGATTCATCAAGTAAATAAAAGTTTAGTTGAATTAGTATTTAAAAATAATGACTGTATAATAAAATTTATGTTTAATTAAGACATTACAAATTATAAAAGGACTTAAATATAAATAAAGACTTTTTCCATTTCAATTATTATGATTGATTTACAAGTGAATAAGATAAATCCAAATATTAGCTCAAATTTCTCTATGAGATCAATTTACACGTAATAAGCAACTTCCCATGCAATATCAGTTTGAAAAAACAAAAGGTAAGACTTGCCTTACACGGCAAAAATTATAAAGGGGAACGCCAAAGCTATCAGTTTCAACATGCGAATGAGCGTATGATTTTTCTATGTATATATCGATTATTTTTATTAATTCTAATATTGAATTAAAATTTATTTATTTTTGTTAAAAGAATAGAGTGAATACATATGATATTAATTTATAACTCATAATATTATTACAAGAAGAAATTACGAGTACAAAATATAAATATTTTTTACAACATTACTTGTTATTAGTTTATAAACTCGGTAGAATTATATGATCTTATTTTCTCATTTACATGAACTTTGTTTGCTCACTTGTATTATATTCACCAAATGCTACAGTTTAATCCTATATTTATAATGCTACTTAGCCTACTAAATAAAGTCTCTAGTTGCTGCCAAAATTTCCATGGCAAGTCTCCGTCGCCAAATTCCAAATTTCCACAATCGTCAAGAATTTTCTTTTAGTTCGTGTTACTTTCATGATTTTTTTATTATGTTGTGATAATTTTGCACTAATTTGTCACTTCACGTCAGCAAATGGAGAAATATTTTTCTAAAATGAGTTTGACTTTTTCTAATAATGTTGTGATAAGGATGAGTGGATGACAAGGACTGGAAGGACCACAATCATTCAGTTATTGCATGCCAACCATCTCAATAATATTATTCTCTGTAATCCAGAGAAACGAAAACAAGATTATATATATGTGATCAAAAGTTTCTTATTTCAAGACAAAGTGTAATGGGAGTTATTGTAATTTAAAATCAAAGATTTTGGAGTTATTTTAATTTACTAATTTTTTGAGTTATCAATGCACAACTGGCCCACTTGTTTCTTATTGAAATATCCAAAGGCTTTGTGGCTCTTGTTTTTTTAGTATAATCTACTGTCTTATTTTATTTTATTTTTCTTCTTGTTTGTTGTTGAAATATCCTAAGATACCCCCACCTACTATTTGTTTGTTCTTCGATTCTTTGATATTGTTGGGTGTGGTTTTGTTATTTTCTATTTTCATTACACGTTTGATGACGTCTCCAATTCTTGTCTTTACTGGACCGCTTTATGCCTTTATAAACAGTTCAGAAGCTTGGATTTTTGCAGTAAACCCCACTTGTTTTCCTTTGTTAAATTGCAGAAATTCTGAGAATCAGTCATGGAGGACAAATGTTCCATCAAGAAAGATGTTACTGAAGTAATGTTTATTCTCTCAATCACTGTAGTGTTGATGTTGCCATTAGTCTTCTGCAACTTGTTTTAATTTCCTTGTGGCTTATGCAGTTAATATGTAATACGCCTATGGTATATCTGAACCATATCGTTGATGGCTGCGGAGCTCGAATCGCTGCCAAGCTTGAGATCATGGAACCTTGCTCCAGTGTTAAAGACAGGCATAAGCCCTTTTGTTAACATTTGATTTGCCTATTCTTCTTCGCAGCGTCTCGGTGAAGTGTTACTCGCAAATTAACACCTATGGTCATTGCTTATCAATCTGCAGGATAGCCTACAGTATGATTAAAGATGCAGAAGATAAGGGCTTAATTACACCTGGGAAGGTAAGTACTATATTTAAAGATGCTCTGCGGTGTGTTTGTTTGATCAAACGAGTACTATTTTCCACATGGAATTGTCCAGATATGGAACATTTAAACTAACAAAATTACCATTTGTTCTGCACATATCGAAACAATATTGGGTAAAGAGTGTCCTCATCGAGCCTACGAGCGGTAATACTGGCATCGGATTGGCTTTCATTGGGGCTGCCAGGGGTTATAAAGTTATTGTCATAATGCCATCTTATGTGAGCATTGAAAGGATAATCGTTCTTCGAGCTTTCGGAGCTGAGGTATGCCTCACGGACAAAGCCAAGGGCATTAAGGGGATATTCGACAAGGCTGAGGAGATACTGAAAAACACACCTAATGGTCACATGCTACAGCAATTTGAAAACCCTTCTAATCCACAGGTAGAATCTTTGCTGTTATAACATTTCTAATGTTTCATCAGGTGATGTTTCAAAGAAGTAATGAATTCCTTGTTTAAGATTCATTACGAGACCACCGGTCCGGAGATATGGAAAGACTCAGGAGGGCAAGTTGATGTGCTGGTTGCAGGCATAGGGACTGGTGGTACTGTAACAGGTGCAGGGAGGTTCCTCAAAGAGAAAAAATCAGGGTTCAAGGTTTGTTCCCCATTTGAGATTGAAATTCAAACAGAGATAAAATATTCTTTTTTGGTAAGTTAATCAGAACATTTTCTTCTTTTGTCTACATATAGGTATATGGAATTGAACCGGTCGAAAGTGCAGTCTTGAACGGCGGAAAACCCGGTAAGAGTTTCAAGTTCCTTTCACCCTTCACCCTTAACCCTTAACTCTTCTTTTTTCCTTTTATTGCCATTCCAAACTTCTTGCGATATTATTCGATTTAATGTTGTTTCAAAACTATAAAGTTCGTTATTGACTGTTTCTTTCATGCCATTGCCTGTGTAATGCATGTTAAAAGGCCCTCATCTGATCCAAGGAATTGGTGCCGGTATCATCCCTGATGTTTTGGATGTTGGCCTTCTCGATGAAGTTATCCAGGTAAGTCGAGCATTGCTGTCGTACTTGTTTGTCACAAGTATCCGAATGTGCTTTACCCCCTTGATTTCTTATACTGTATGATGCCATGTAGTTTCCTAGAACCGATTCTAGGAAACTTCACAATGGTTTCGGTTTTTCGGAGATTATGTTCCGGTTCTGTCACGATGATTGTATTCTTTTTCCTTTTTAGAACCGAATTCATCCGACATCACAACTATCAATAATCTGGTCCATTGTTTACGTCCTATATGATGCAGGGTAGTTTCCTAGTCCACATATTTATACTTTCTTCTGTCATATCTTGTTAGGTATCGAGTGACGAAGCTATTGAAACTGCTAAACTGATAGCCCTGAAAGAAGGTTTGCTGGTATGTTCGTATTCGTTAATCGATACTTACAAACTGTCTCGATTACTTGTTCTTGTTTTTCCCTTGTTTGCTCAAATGAATAGATCTTGACAGGTTGGAATATCATCTGGTGCGGCTACAGCAGCTGCAATTAAGGTGGCAAAGAGGCCAGAAAATGCAGGCAAACTCATAGTTGTGAGTCGCATTCCCTTTCTTTAAGTCCAGATATATATATATATCCTATAGGCTATAATAATTCTCCGATTCTTCATTTTTCTTGAACTATTAGCGTTCGATATCAACGAATACTTAAACGTAATCCTTCACTGCAATCCAACGTTTCTATACACTTGCATATCGGACATAAATACGATCTATGACCCTTCAATAATCCGATTATGTCAAATGTATACATGTATCCAAATTTATATACTAGACTCCATAACATAATTAAGCACGAATGTTAAACACCGATATACTTTATTCATCTATGTGCGAATATGCAAAGCTGAGATAGGTTTTGAATCACTGATTTTTGAGATTCTCTCTCTCTCTCTTTTATATATTTACAGGTAGTTTTCCCCAGCGCGGGTGAGCGTTACTTGTCGTCTGCATTGTTTGAATCCATTAGGCATGAAGCAGAGAACATGCCCATCCATTGATGCCATTATCATCTCCATTTGCAATTTTTTTCCCGCAATATGAACTCCTGCCTTTATTTATTTTTCTTTGTACTTGTGCTCTATGTTTTCGGGATTTAAAATAAATGTCAGATACGTTATCTCATATGAATATATTTAATTATTGGGTTAATATACCTTTTGGCCCCCTTGACTTTGGCTTCGATATGCAATTTGGATCCTGACTTTTTGAATATTTAAACTTTTTTAAAAGTTACAACTATGAATCTTTCATGTTATTATATAAAATTAATTATATGGTACCACATGTAGTAGAAAATAAACCCAAATAATCTTACTTGAAAACTCGTATTTAAATATGATGACATTCAAATTTAAACACTTAATATTGTAACACTTTAAACTTGTTGATCAAATCTTCATTGACAATATTTTAAAACTTGTTGGACGACCATATTTTTATACCCGTAACGATGACCATAAATAAAATGAAAGGTTTTGTATTCAAACTGTCGTAGGTTAAGATTTATTAGGAAACGGAGATATGGGAAGTCTCGGAAGGGAAGATTAACATGCACTGGTTACAAGTATAGGGACTCGTGGTAAACAGTGGTGAATTCAGAAATTTATAAATGGGGTCTAAAATTTAAAAAAAAAAATTCTTAAAAATAATAGGGTACAAAAAAAAGTTATTTTTTCAATTTTTCTTTAACATATTATATTAAATTTCACTTTTTTTCCTAAATAATGAGATGCACTTGATCCTAAAGGACTTAGTGCATCCGCCCGTGGTGGTACAGTAACAGGTATTCCCTTTTTTCCCTAAATATTTTTAAAATTTTTAATAATAAAAAAATTATTTAAAAAAACTTAATTTATTTATAAAAAACATAACTTTTTAATGAAATTATAGAAAAAATCTAAAAAAACTAAAATATCATTTCAACTCTCATTGCCAACTATCGTCGAACACTTGAGTTTTGATCGAAATTATACGGTATTTTGAATGGTGGTGGCAGTGTGACTCATGGACAACGAGATCTGCCGGAATTAACAAAGAACAGTGACAATGACTTAAAATCTGACGAATCTTTAAACGCTTCTCTACGGCACACTGTGACACTTTACGACGAAAGGCCAACGAAAGTTTGATCAAAGGTCGATGCCAGTGCCGATGAAGATGGCAGTGACGGTCACGGATGACCGACCGACGACCATGAAAAGGAGAAGGGGGGAGAGAGAGAGACGCGGGCTGTGTTTGGGTTTTTTATATATAATAAAAATATTTTTAAAATAAATTGTCAAAATTATAAAAAAATGTGACACATGTTACTTAATGGTCATTACGGTCCAGACACTTAAAACTTCTTGATGAAAACGTTAAACACCTATTTTTAACAAAACTTTCTTTAAGCACTAAAACAATTTTTCAAAACAAAATTTAGGGACTTATTTTTATATTAAGGCTTTTTTTTCCCTACTTGTTTTGTTTGCTGGAATGTATCAATCTTGACTTGTTGCTGTGCTGCAATTAGGGTGGCACCAACATATTTTAGTAAGATTTCACCAGGACCAGAACGAATTGGATAGTTTTAGTAGTTTTCTCCAATACGTTTTATTGTTTCTTAAACGACGCCGTTGGGGCCGGTCCACCCCACTCTTGATCTCCTTGACCTCGTCTTCTTGACTTTCAAAGTTCAGTTTTTCTGACGAGCTTTTTCTAAATTATTTATTTAATGCCATTTTCTTCACCTAACTCTCTTTTTCCAAGACCTTCTTGGTAAGTTCAAAGCTTTATTATGCTCACTTAGTCTCTGACTCTCTTCTTAGTTAAATTGCCCTTCTTTTTTATTAAAATTGAAGGAATTCTGAGAACCCATCATGGAGGACAAATGTGCAATCAAGAAAGATGTAACTGAAGTAATGTTTATTCTTTGAATCATTTAAGTATTGATGTTGCCATTAGTCTTCTGCAACTTGTTTTAATCTCCTTGTGGCTTATGCAGTTAATAGGTGATACGCCTATGGTATATCTGAACAATATCGTCCATGGTTGCAGAGCTCGAATTGCTGCCAAGCTCGAGTTGATGGAACCTTGCTGCAGTGTTAAAGACAGGCATATGCTTTTTAATTACATTTGTTTCTACATTCTTCACTGCATCTTGCAAACCGTTACCTGTAAATTAATAGTTTTGATCCTTGTGTATCAATCCGCAGAATTGCATACAGTATGATTAAAGATGCAGAAGAAAAGGGCTTGATTGCACCAGGGAAGGTATGGTACCGTATTCGAATGGTTTAGCTTTCGGATTAATGCATATGAAGTGATTGTTTGATAACTTAAACAAGAAGAGATTTAGATCCAAGAACATTTAAACTTCAGATTGTTTTTGAAAGACCAAAATTCCCATTTGAGCTATGGAACATTTAAGCTAAAAAAGTTTCCATTTACTTTGCATATCGACATAATATTGGCTACAGAGTGTCCTTATCGACACTACCAGTGGTAATACCGGCATTGCAATGGCTTTCATTGGGGCAGCCAGAGGTTATAAAGTTATTGTCACAATGCCAGCTTATATGAGCACTGAGAGGAGAATCGTTCTTCTAGCTTTGGGAGCTGAGGTAGTCCTCACAGACCCTGCCAAGGGCTTTAAAGGGTCATCGGATAAGGCTGAGGAGATATTGAAGAACACGCCTAACGGTTACATGCTACGACAGTTTGAAAACCCTTCCAATCCACAGGTAGAATCTTTACTGTTATTGCAATTCTAATGTTCCATCAGCTAATATTTAAAAGAACGAATTCTTGTTTAAGATTCATTATGAAACCACTGGTCCGGAGATATGGAGAGACTCGGAAGGGAAAGTTGATGTACTTGTTGCAGGCATAGGGACTGGTGGTACAGTCACTGGAGCAGGGAAATTCCTCAAAGAGAAAAACTCAGAGATCAAGGTTTGTTCCCTGTTTGAGATCGAAATTCAGACAAGGAGGCAATGTTCTTGTTGTAATGTTAAGGTTAAGGATTTAGGGTTTAATAAGAACGTTTCTTATTTTATCAAACAAATAGATCTACGGCGTGGAACCTGTTGAAAGTGCAGTTTTGAATGGTGGAAAACCTGGTTAGTTTTTTGAGTTCCTTTCACCTTTCATTCTTATTTTTCCTTTTACTTCCATTGTCAACTTTTTTTTATATATATTATTGGATTCAATGTTGTTTCAAAATTATAAAGCTCAATATCCATCAAGTTAATTTGATCTGTAATTCGTGCAATATCCAGTACTTAACTATTTTCTTCATGACATTGTCTGTGTGATGGATGTCAAAGGCCCTCATTTGATCCAAGGGATCGGTGCCGGTATCATCCCTAATGTTTTAGATGTTGGCCTCCTTGATGAAGTTGTCCAGGTAACTCTCCAAAACGAGCTTGTGTTACCTTCCAAGCCTAGAAACAGTTCTAGGAAACTTTGCAATTGGCTTGGTTTTCGAAAAATCAATGAATCTCCGTTTCCGACACAATAATAGTATCTGTTTTCCGTATATGAACCGATTTCCTTTTCCATATAATAGCATCAGTTGTCTGATCCGTTGATTATCTTGTATGATGGCCCATGATAGTTTCACAGAAACAGTTCTAAGAAATTATGCAGTTGGTTTGAGTTCTAAAAAAATAACGATTTTTCATGTCTGTCATGAGGATAGTTTCCTTACAAAAACTGGTTTTATTTTCCTAAGCAATCATCAACCATCTAATCCATTGATTATCCTGTACGATATCATAATAGTGTCCTAAAACTGGTTCATGGAAACTTAGCAATTGATTCAATTTCTGAAAGATCAAGGAAATTTCACTTCTGTCTCGATGATACTATTTGCTTTGGTGAATGGATAAGCATCACTCATCTAATCCATTGTTTATCCTATATGATGCATGGTATGTTCTAGAAACAGTTCTAGGAAACTTTGCAATTGCTTCAATTTCGGATTTTTCGTTTCTGTCACAATGATAGTACTTGTTTTCTTTATAAGAACCAGTGTCATTTTCCATGGCAAGCATCAATCATCTGATCCATCGATAATCCGGTATAATGGCCATGGTAGTTTCCTAGAAACTGTTCAATGAAACTTTGCAATGGCTTCGATTTCTGGAAAATTAACTATTTTTCATTTCTATCACGATGATAGTATTCATTTTCCCACTGATTCTATCTGCCATTGCAAGCATCGATCACCAATCCATTGTTTAGCCTATATGATGCATGGTTGTTTCCTATTCCACACATTTATACTTCCCTCTGTTATAACTTCTTAGATATCTGGTGAAGAAGCCATTGAAACCGCTAAACTGCTAGCCTTGAAAGAAGGTTTGCTGGTATGTTCTTATTCGTTAATCGAGTATCTTGATCACTTGTTCTTACTTTTTCCTTATTTATTTGCTCAAATGAATCATTCTTGACAGGTTGGTATATCATCTGGTGCTGCAGCTGCTGCAGCAATTAAGTTGGCTAAGAGGCCAGAAAATACTGGCAAACTCATAGTTGTGAGTTGCACTTGTTCTTCATGTTCATATATCCTATAGATTATAATAGTTATCGATAAAAACCGGACTCTTCATTGTTTCTAAACTAATAGTGTTGGATATCGACACATACTTGAACATGGGTTTGAAGGTTTAAAAAGTATGATTCTTCAAATATATGAAAAAACTTGGGAAACTTGAATACTCGTATTTGACACTTACTCTGAACCCCAAATCCGGGTATCAATGCCGATAGAGAGCAATCCTAGTGACAGTTTCTGCTGTTGTTGATTAGTCCTTTCTCAAATTACGCCCTTAATTCGAACATATCTAGTATCTGACACTTATATCTATGTTTAGCAACGTATTCAGTCGCAAATCGAACATGAATATTTGAGATAGGTTTGAGAACCCAAAGGGCAAAGTGCCCATGTTTTTGCTTTGGCTAACTGGTTTTGCCGTCTCTGATCGACAAATATAAAAGCTTTTGAAATGCTGAAAGCTGTCGTTTGTTAGTTTTCCGGATTCTTGAGCTTCTTTATTTTATTTTTTTCCAGGTAGTTTTCCCCAGCGCTGGTGAGCGTTACCTGTCTTCTGCATTGTTTGAATCCTTAAGGCATGAAGCAGAAAACATGCCTGTCCATTGATATGATATTATAATCCTCTTTCCACTCTGTACTATGTTTCTTTCGAAATAGATTCAAGGGACGTGTTGAGTACGAGTGTGTGTCTGATTTGATATTCTAATCCTCTTTCCATTATGTATTATGCTGCTTTCGAAGTAGGTTTAAGGTAAGTGTTAAATGCGAGTATGTATTTGATACGAGTACAATCCAATCGAGTCCTGTTCCGTATAAGACCGGCGAGAAATGGAATCGATCATCGAGTCCTGTTCGGTATCATGTTGAAGAGAGATGGATCGGTCGGCCTTCGAGTTTGAGTACTGCTCGTATCATGCCAAAATTTATTATTATTATTGTATTGATTTAAAAGTTTAACCAAAATTTGAACCTTTTTCAACTACTTAAGATACCGACTGTATCATTAAATTTTGCAATATCTAAATATAAACATATTTAAAAGTTTAATCATAAGTATAAATCGATATTTCCTTGAACAAAAATCTACTTTTAGCTCCTTGGATCCTAATTTTTTAAAAAAAAAACTTTTTCACTCAATTCTCAAGCAGAAGTTTGTAAGTAAAAAGGAATTCTTAAAAATATATTTTAGTTTCAACATTTTAAATAATTCCATTTTATTCATGTAGAAAAATAATAAATATTTTATTTATAAATATCAAAACAACTGACTACGAAAATGGAACCGAATTAACAGTTGATCTGCCTTCTATTTAGCCTTTGAGCACCGTCTTCGTTAATCAAAACCCAACAAAGTTTGCTCCTTTCTTTGTAAATTTTTAATTTTTTTGCTTGTCATCATCACGCTCTAAAACTGTAGACAGTGAGGAATTCAACATGAGATAAAAAAGATAAATCCTTTTATATTTTGGAATAGCCAATATTCTCTTTGGTTAGTGTGCAAAGAGAATGCTACTTACGTTACTAGGCGGCTTTACTTCCTCATTAAACCCAGATTTTCTTCTATTAATTTCCCTAGAAATTTCAAGTGCTCAATAAGAAAGAAATATCCAGAAGGTTAGTTACCCTTTAATTTCATTTTTCTTTCTTTTTCAAAATTTAGGTTTTGGTTTATACCCGGATCAATTTGTATTTCAAAATTGCTTTTCCTTTACTCTGGATTGTTATATTGTTCTATATACAAATTTAGGTATTTGGATCATGTGGTCAAGGTGCCGGTTTTACTGTTTTTGTGATAGATTTTGAAAGGTATTTTGATGAATGAGAATAGAGACATCCTTGACCATCAAATTCATGTTCTCAGGCGGATTTTATTGAGAAGTTGCTGTCTATTTGGTTGGTCAGAAAGTGTAGGGAAAAGAAAGAAAATGTAGGGTCTTTTCAAGCTTGGTGTTTCTGGAGCACCTCTTTGAACAATCTTTTAGCTACCCAATGTAGAATTTTAGCTTGGTATTTCGAGATTGATGAATTTAGAATATGATCTTTTTGGCAGTCTTGATTGTACTGGATTTATCATTTTTTCTATAAGGTTTGAGAGAGACACTTGAGAATTTGATTAAATTTTGTATCATCTTGAAGAGAAGTGAAGATTTTGATAATAAGAGTATTATTATTTTGTCTTTCTCCTGTTTTTTTTTTCTCCCCAAGATTCTTAATGTTTGATATGAAGGAAGTAAAATCACTGATTTTAAATTCAATTTTAGGGTTGCAAGTTTCCGTGTGTTTTCAGAGACTTTCTGTAAATAAATATGTTTTTATGTGTGTAGGTATGTTCAAGAACCAATTGCAAGAGTTGGCTCAAAGAAGTTGCTTTAATCTGCCATCTTATTCGTGCATTCGAGAAGGCCCTGATCACGCACCTCGGTTTAAAGCTACGGTAAACTTTAATGGAGATACCTATGAAAGCCCTACGTTTTGCTCTACTTTGAGACAAGCAGAACATGCTGCAGCTGAAATAGCACTAAATACACTTGCCAACCGAGGCCCTTCGAAAGCATTGGCTGCAAGAGTATTGGTAAGCATTCAACTGATTTTCCTATTGAAATTTATCATCCTTCCAATTCTGTTTCCACACCACCAAGCAAAGCCTTAGTTCCTCAGACTGGAAGTGGATGATGTTTCCTATTCGTTTCAGTGTTCTTCTTGGAGATCTCACTCTTCAAAGTGATTCATCTTTGACTAAATTTATTTCACCTTGTCTACCAAACATTCTTTTTTGAAGTATTTCTCAGGTTGATTGGCAGTTGTGATGCAAGAACACTTTGTGTTAGTGTTGGCTCATTTATCTCTATTTGTAACTAATTGACTACCTTAGAGATGTCAATGTCATATCTTAACTTTAAGCAATGACTTAACATGTTTTTAACTCTAAAAATGACATCATATAAGGGTTTAATTATAAGTCAAGGTAATCGGTCGTATCGAATGAACACAATGAGATTTGGCGTCCTCTGTTGGAAGGTCTAGTTGCAGCAATGATTTAAGTCTTGGTACCATCTGTGGTTTAAATCACCATTTAGATCAAATACGATGATTTATGGGTCTGATTTTTTTTATTTTTGGCAACTCACTTGAAATTGTTGAGGATATACAATTTTTTTGGATCTGTTAACATTATCGATTATAGTTCTATATAAGAAATGGGGATGTTGGAAAAACTCTGGATGTAAACTGTTCCAGACTCTGGCTGACTTAATTTTTGTCCTGATATTGTTGTCTGTGAATCTGATCAATTATTCTTTGTGCTTTGTCCGAAGACATATATATAGACCTAAAGCAAATACTTCATTTTAGTACTTCAGCTTCCTCTAGCAAAATAAATAAAATAAAAACCTGCTGATTCTGTGTCTATTGCGCAGGATGAAACAGGTGTCTATAAGAACTTGCTTCAAGAGACTGCTCATAGAGCTGGCTTAAATCTTCCGATCTACACCACTGTTCGATCTGGACCAGGTCATGTTCCTAGTTTTTCCTGCATTGTTGACCTTGCAGGCATGAGCTTTACAGGGGAACCCGCTCGGACTAAGAAACGAGCTCAAAAGAATGCAGCAATGGCTGCATGGTCAGCCCTGAGAAAACGTATGATTCCTTTCTTTTGTATTAAAGGTTTCTCTTCATTTGGAATCAAACTAGTGCACTGTTTATTCCTCTCCCAAGGTTGCTTTTCAGGTTAGACGATGAAGAAAACATACAATCTTAGGCTGGCATAAAACAACTTACTCATTGATGCATATTGTGCTTGGACTCTTCATTTTTCTTTAAGTCACCCTGTCCAACACATACCCAGACATAGTTATGTGCATATGACCCTCCAAGGATATTTTAATACATGGAAAAACGGAAAAAAGGGTTGAAACATATCCGTGTTGAATACATAGCTGTGAAGGATACTGTGTAATCCCATCGTATTTATTTAGTTACATGTATATTATATTTATTTGCTACGAAAATGTTTCAATCGAAGCGTGAAAAATCATCCTATGATTAGTTTGTTCTTTGGAAACATACTTTCAATGGCGTGAAGTTTTTTTTTAATCACTTGAATCTTTCTCTTGATGTGTATATGTGCATATTTTCCTTCTACCACAACCTAACGTGACTATAATGTAAATATTTTCTAATATAATCCTTTGCATGCAGTGTCTCGGGATGTTTCGTCTTTGTCTTCGTCACCTTCATCGGAGTCTAAAGGAAAACAAGATCAAGTCGTCATTGCTCGTTTCCTTTCATCATTACTACCTTTAGAAGCAGGGCAGTCTATGCAAAATGATTGTCGGTATGAAAGGCAGAGGTCGGTCCCAGTATGTCGAGATATAACCCCACCAAACAGAAGCTTATATATGCAGGGTGAAAGTTGGTCTTACCCTTTCTTTTCCCCTGAAATGGCCTTGCCCATATACCAAATATGGGAACAAGAACAACTGTTGCAGCCGCAAAGCCATATGTTTTCATTTCCGGTTTCTCCAGTTCCTCTGCCTGGTCCTCATTTTCTTCCTTATGCGCGGTCTATTTTATGCCCGGATCCTCGTATGTCATTTCAAGCTAGGGACCAAGAACCAATCTTAATGGCTCCAAGGCTTGCAATTTCTACATCATGTCCTTCTCTTTGCATCTCTAATCATTCAGCATCTCAACCAACCATGGGAAGATCTACAGTGACCATTCAAGAGATACATGAAGAGATTAAAGAAGAATCGCGCAGAAATCCTTCTCCGCCTTTAGTTATTGATCGGCTTCTTCCGAGTCAAAATACTGCCGAAACAGGTATCAGTGAACCAAAACAGGAAGACCACAAACAGAAGAATGTTGAGTTGGAAAGCAAAGCTGAAACTGGTCATATGAAATCAAGTGCTGGTTCTCGTCCTGTCAACGACCGATTACCAAATATGCATGCCTTTGAGTCTTCTTATCTTCGACCACAGTATCCTCCGAGGACAAGTTATTACAGAAATTCTAGACCACCACCATCATATGCAGCAGCTCCTCTGATGATCAGAACAGTCAACGCAACTTCTTCCACGATACCGAACATGCAAGAGCCAATAATGCAGGTTCCTGTCCTGCCTAGAATGAGGACTGGAGCTCCACCTTTTTCGGCCAGACCAAGTTTCGAGAGAGTGAACCATGGTGGTACGCATCCTAGTTCCATTGCACCACCTGTTAGAATACGATCCGTTGTACCAGTCTGTTCAGCCCCACCATCAAGTAAAACACCAAGCTTCAACAAGGAGGCATTGTTGCTCAACAAAGAGAAGAAAGATAATGCTCCTGAGGATATATCAACTGCAACTTCAGAACTTAGTAATCTTAGCATGTAGATGGAGGATACCGCTTGCTACTTTTAAATTAATATTTATTATGTTTATAACCGTGATAAACACAACGCGACCGAGCATGGGTAATAGCAGAGTAGGCTTGCTTTTGTTTTCTTCTTTAATGTGGAAATCATTTCTAGCCAAGGAGAGCTGTTTTTCATGCTTTAGAATAAATAAACAGTTTACCAAAAATCAGTATTTAAACAATACGTGAAATTAAAATTTTTTATTGATAGTGTATTTGAATATTAACTCTTGAAATACAAAAAAAAAAAAAAAAAATTCTATACACAGAGTTGAAAATTTGGGATAATTACCAAAGAGTCCTTATGAACAATGCGCCAATATAAGCGCTGACGTAAAAACCCTAAACCCACCCCACCGCTGCCTCTCTTCCTTTCTCCACTCCCAGCTACTCAGCAGGCGGAAACTGAACTTAGGTAATAGGGAATTAGTTTTCGTTTTTCTTTTACGAGTTTACATATTTTTCTCTCTCTTTACATTAAATTCTTCTTTGGTTTTGGCTGTTTCCGGTTTTTCGTGAGTGCTTAGTTGGATTCTTGGCTTTGTTTACTGTAACTTCAACACTAAGGGGTTCCTTTAACGACGCGTAAGTGATGACTTTTTAGCCGTCTTGTTTATCTTTTAGCAGTTTTGTTTATGATTATGAATTGAAGTGGTGATTTTATGATTTGGGTACTAGAAAAGGAGTTGTTTTTTTTTTATCATTTATGGGTCTTGATGTTATTTGTTTGAAGTTTGATTATTTGTTGACAGTAATTTTATGGTGATGATGTTTTAGGTCTGTTTTTCTCGATTGGGAAATGCTTGTGTTGTTCGAGACTCCGGCGGGCTTTGCCCTTTTCAAAATCATAGATGAAGGGAAGCTAAATAAAGTCGAGGTAATTTTCTCTCCGTATCTTGTGAGAATTAATAGGAAGTTACTTTTTGTAGTTGCTGTGGAAAAAAGTACATTGTTTGAATGAAAATCAATGGCTTTATGTTTTAGTTTGTAGAACTTGCTGGTTTGGAGTTTGTATTGAATTTGTGTTTTTGTTAATGTAGGACTTGTCCAAGGAATTCTTGGCTCCTGACTCTGCAAGAAAGGTTATCACCTTTTTGGATTTTGATCACATTTCTTCTCCTATTAATATCATACCTTTTTATCTGCTTTAAAAATGGAGCTGATCCATTTGCTTTTAAAATATCATTAGGTTGTGTCGTTGAAAGCCTTTTCCAAGTTTGAAAACACCGCAGAAGCTTTGGAAGCTGCAACCAAACTTCTTGAAAGTGCACCAAGCAAAGGTCTACGCAAATTCTTGCGTGCGCATTGTAATGGTGAAACATTAGGAGTGGCTGATTCAAAGCTTGGAAATGCAATTAAGGAAAAACTGGTCTGTTAATACTCAGCGTATGTGAATTCTATGGTGATATTCTTCTGTGCCATTCAGTTGAATCTTATTTAAGTAATTGCAAGTTTGCAGAAAATTGATTGTGTTCACAATACCGCTGTTATGGAGTTGCTGAGAGGTGTGAGAACTCATATCTGGTCTAGGTGCGCAAGATTTAGCTCCAATGAGTCTGGGTTTGTCTCATAGCCTTTCTCGATACAAGCTGAAATTCAGTGCTGACAAGGTACTTATATCAGTTTATTCTGAACTTGATTGAGCTGTATCCTTTATCCTTTGGGACAGGGTGGGAAAATGTCCATTTCTAGAAATATATAAATAAGTTGGTGTAAGATTATGTTAACTTTAGTCAGGTAAATGATTAGTTTACTTTGTAAGCATTAGACTGTTGTAGTTGCTTGATTTGAGAACAATGATCTTGTTGACCACATTTGAAAGTAATAAACATGTAAAAATTAGTTAAGCGTTCTAATAAAGCTAAATCCTTAAGAAATATGGTGTTAAAGTAAGATGCTGTTCGAGAATTCTCTTTAAAAATGAAATGCTGTTCATATTTGAGGTTTCATTTGCACCAAGGTATGTTACATGGCTCAGGTGTAAGTGTTGGACATGGCTATGTGTCTGACATGGGTTGGGTAAGTTCATGTCTTTTCATTTCCCCAAGGTTTCCTTATGTTTCAAAGTGCATGGAGGATCATTCTCCATACCTATGTCCAACTATGTGCTTGACATGAATATTTAATTAAAAAAATGAATACTTGGAATAGTATAGGTGAAAAGTGCTTAAATGTATTTATCCATGTAGAATTTCTTGCATCTATCTTATTTAGGGTTGAAGTTGTTGATATGCTTAGATGCTGTGCCAATAATAGGTGGATTTTTGTTTGTTATCGAATAATTGCTCTCTTTTAACTTCCTGAATGTTAAGCCACGGTTTCTGGATTTTGTGACCGTATATTATAAGTGTATTGTTTTAGGTTGATACAATGATTGTCCAAGCCATTGGTTTGCTTGATGATCTTGATAAAGAACTTAACACATATGCAATGAGGATTCGAGAATGGTATGGTTGGCATTTTCCAGAGCTTACGAAGATTATACAGGACAACATCATTTATGCCAAGGCAGTGAAACTAATGGGCGACCGTTCAAATGCTGCTAAGCTCGACTTCTCAGAGGTACGAGTTATGATTAAGTAATCAGAAAATTAATACCCCAACTTGTTTATAAAGTGTTCCATTATTTCAATATGAAGCTTACTAGTTTTGCCAACTATCAATTTCTTCACTCTTGAGCTTGACGTGAAGTGTTTGATGGAAATGTTTTCCTTATTTTTGAAACATGCTCTTAAATTTTTGCAGATACTACCCGAAGAGATTGAGACAGAACTTAAGGAGGCAGCAGTGATATCCATGGGAACTGAAATTAATGACCTTGATCTTATGAACATCGAAGATCTATGTGATCAGGTTCTCAACCTTGCTGAATACCGGGCTCAGCTATATGATTATTTAAAGAGCAGGATGAACACCGTTACACCAAACTTGACTGCTCTTGTTGGCGAACTTGTTGGTGCTCGTCTCATTGCTCATGGTGGCAGCTTGTTGAATCTTTCCAAACAGCCTGGTAGTACCGTTCAGATTCTTGGTGCAGAGAAGGCTCTCTTCAGAGCTCTCAAGACAAAGCATTCCACTCCGAAGTACGGGCTTATTTACCATGCATCCTTGGTTGGTCAGGCAGCACCAAAACACAAGGGGAAGATTTCCAGGTCACTTGCTGCGAAGGCTGCATTGGCTATTCGTTGTGATGCTCTTGGAGATGACCAAGATAATTCTATGGGACTTGAGAACCGAGCCAAGGTAAATTGTAACTTGTGTTTGACTTATTTCTCTTTCCTCCACGACAATTGCAAACACTTTTCCGATAAAAGACAACAAAAAGAGAATGTAATATCTTACATATTTTTTTGTAGCTTGAAGCAAGGTTAAGGGCTCTTGAAGGCAAATAATTGGGACGATCTGCCAGCTCAGCTAAAGGCAAGCCTAAGATAGAAGTCTATGACAAGGATCGGAAGAAGGGAACTGGGTTGATAACCCCTGCTAAGGTCCGTGCAACTGACTTGTCAAATATGTTGTTTTAGATTTTGTCTTTTAAGTGGTTAGTGGCATTTTTCTTGTATACAGGCATACAATCCTGCAGCCGATTCTCTTCTTGGGCAAACAACAGATGTCACTGCTCTTGAGGAGCAAGACAATGTCGCAAATAAGAAGAAGAAGGTTGAGGCCGAACCTCCTCAGGCAGAGGAAGCAGCTGAGGCACCCACCACTGAAGGTAAGAAAGAAAAGAAGAAAAAGAAGAAGAAAGCTGATAAGGAGGCAGTTTTGCCCACTATTGAAAATGAACATGAAGGTGAAGAACCTATGGAGAAGGAAAAGGAAAAGAAGAAAAAGAAGAAACATCGAACCGAGGATGATGGGGAGAATGTTGAAGTAGGAGAGAAGAAAAAGAAGAGAAAGCATGCAGAACAAGAAGAGTCTGGAGTGCAGACAAAGAAAGAGAAAAAGAAGGGTGAAGATTGAGAAACATCAAAGACCTTACGTGGTGATTGACTGCTAGACAATTTTTGGGTATTATATAGACATAAGGCACTTGTGCTTGTAAAATGTGGTATATTGTTGAGTTAATCATCTGGTGGTGTTCTTTAAACCTATTTATGATGTATTTTCAACTTCCTTATGGGTGCAATTGCAGGGAAATCTCACAAACTTCTATTTTTGATCTTTCCAATGGGAGTTTATGTTCTTTTGCAATGATTTGAAAAGTGTAACCAACAGCTTGAATTGGTTACTGCTCTTCAAGGAATGAGAAGTTTATTCTACCGTCATTTTTCCTAAAAATTCACTTCAAAACTTGGACCAACCTTTTGCTGAATACATTTTTGGACAAAATTACATTGCTGGTAAATAGACAAGGTGACAGAATTTTGACAGTTTCTGGAACTATTACACTGTGCACGGAATCAGCAAAAAAATGAAATTTGCAACAAAAAAAAAAAGGGTATTTGTATAGTTTTAAAAAAATGTTTGGATTTTGAGAAGTTTTAAAAGTGGGTATTTGTATAGTAATTTTTTTACTCAAATATCACTAAAAATTAATATAAAACATCTAAAATGTAACCTCAGACTCGGCTTATGTGTTACGATCATATTTAGCGAATTACAGCAAAATTTTTCCAAAACGTTATTCGATAATTTAAATCCATATTATAAATAATATATTTAAAAACATAGTTAATAACGATAAAATCCAAACGAGTAAATGTAAAACCATACGTGACTGAGTAAAATAAAAATGTCATAATCGGTATCGCATTAAATCTAACATTAGTAACAATAAGTCGTAAAATAGTTATTTCAAAATATAGGCACATGTCACTGAAAATGAAGGCAGTTTGGAAGATAAAAACATTACAACAAAATGTATTGTACAAAATGTGTCGATCCTCCAAGTGTCAGGTCTAGGGTGCCCATCCAAAAGTATATGAAAGGGGAAAAAGTTTGGGAAGCGAATTAGGGAGCTCATTGTGTTCCAATAGTGCAAGTAAAACGTAATGGGTAAAATAATCAGGAAGTAGTTCAATGAAATATCATAAAAATCATAGTGAAGATTGAATTTTAAAACTCATAATTACCCTCCTTCAGTACACCAAAATGTAGTTCCCCAAAATTACATCCATAAGGACTTATCATATACTCATTGGGTATCGAAGCCAACCTAAGGAAGCATCTTGGGACTTGAGGAGCCTACTCAAGAAAGTTCTTGGGGCCTCGGAGCCTAACCTAAGGGTCACCTTAGGTCTCTAAAGAATTATTAGCTTGATCATAGCTGAACCTCAATACTCTAGTATCCTACACAAAACAATATCTCAATAAAACAACTCACATAGTAAATAGTAAATTTCATGATCCATAAATCGACATAATCATATTTTCTAATGAAAATAAGTAACCAGATAACATATATCAAACAACCATAGTTCATAATCAGTCAACCAGTAAATCATAATATTGAGCTGTTAAAAGATTCAATAATTTAAGTAGATCACATTTCAAAATATATAAAACAACCATATAACACATAGGGAATACACCTAGCAAAAAGGGATTAGTCGGCAAGTCTACTGAGCACCTACCTCGTCATGCTCTGCAGCAGTGCTCGAACCTAATTCATAATGTAACAGAATTATTATCGGAATAATATTTTAATTTAAATATTCTTAGGGTTTATGAATCATACGAGTAATCACTGGCTCGTGAGGTCATATGGATCGAGAGGAGCTGGGTCGAGCTGTTGAACGGTCGGGAGAGTCATACAATATCTTAGACCAGTCATTAACCTTAATTTAATTATTCTTAAATAAAATACTTAAGTACATATGAATGTTTGGGTTTAACGGTCAATTCAGAAGCTTTTGGGTTTGAATTTGACAAAACGAACTTCGAATTTAGACTCAGAACGTCGAAAAATATAAAAATATGACTTTTTGAAAATTTTAAAAATTTTATCAAAGTCAAAGTCAACTTTAGTCAAAATCGACGGGTTGACTCAACCGAGTTGACTCAGCTCGACTCGGTTCAATATGACTTGACCGATTCAGTCTGATTGGACTAGTTTGATTTGACTGGACCGGTTCCAGAAAGCTCTTGGACCGGTCGAAAAGCCCCAAACGCACCGACGACGACAGGGATCGTTGAGGACGATCGATCACTCCACAAGCTGCAACTTAACATTTTACTTATAAAATAACCCAAAATTAAACCATTATCACGATGAAAACGAATAAAAAGCGGTCAGAACCTTTATCGATGACGGGCGGCGGAACAACTACGGATAACCGACGAACCCACCCGGGTTTTGTTCAAATTTACGCGAGGGATGCAACAGTGAGGGCGGTGAGCAACAACACAGACAAAAAAGGAAAAATTCAGATATGAGTCCCTAAACTTCCTAAAGATTCAAATCTGAGTCGCAAGCTTCTGAAACTTGCAATTTAGTCCATTCAATCAACTAAATTAATTTTATAAGCTTTAATTTAAAAATGGGGGTGCGACATAAAATTAAAATTCAATATTAAATGAAATTTAAAAATTTTAACATCAACAAAAATTATTTATCATTACACAAATGATTTAGTTGAAATTTACACAATAAATTTTTATACGTGTTTTATTATATCTTATATTTGAAGATCTGTACGAGATTTGCGTCGTATAATATAAGGTATTTGACAAACTCGCATAATAGCAAAGAATATATAGTCAATAGGCCTTTTTACCAATAGAAAACACTTGTAAGAAGCAATGGCATATCACTATTCTCTTTCTTCTCACTGTCAGATTCAACCAAAAAGTATATTGAAGACTGAACCAACTACTCTCCCAAGCTCCTTATTGACGTCATTTTCTAAATCCGACTCTTCCACTTTCTTCTGTAAAAACTCTCTTTTTCCACTTTTAGATCATTTCTGATGTTTGACTTCCCCAAAATTCTTCTTAAAATCATCTCAAATTTCACTCTTTTACTTATCAGTTGGCCCCAAGATCATTTTTAACTCTCCTCTATATCCTTTCTGCTTGCAATGGCAAATCACTATTCTCTTTCCTCTCACTTTCGCTTCGTTATGGCAAGAATATACACTCTGCTTGCAATTGATCCAGCGGAACGACTGACTGCCACTGCTGCGTTAAGAAGTGAAGTAAGTTCTTGATTTCGATGAACAGAGATGAATTAGTTCTATTCTTGCCATCTTTTGATTTTTATTCATGAAGATTGGTTGGAAGATACCCTTTCGAAAAATGCCTTTTTCACTACATTCTTTCTGTAGTTCTTCACAACCAAGCCTTACGCTTGTGAACCCTCTAGCCTCCCAAATATCCACTCAGTTAAGAGATGGATGCAAAACGGCGAGATGATGAAGCACGAAGGTCAACTCCTTTTATTTCTCTCTCTATATTGACTATGGTCACTGTCTGTTTATGAAAGTGTGGTAGCTGATTAAGGTTGGAATTTGTTTACTTGTGATGGATCTGACAATTATTGTGCATGTAAAAGCATCGACATCATGTATTCGTCCTGCATATATTCCAACTACGATTAAATAAGAAAAATACTGAACCCTTTCTGTTTCTGGTATAATTGTGCAGACTCCGAGCTGCAAGTAAAACCCTTGGTGGTGGTGCAAGGAAAACACGGGCACGTGATCGAGCAAGGGCAGTTCCTGCTCCAGAAGCCAACGCAGAGCTTCAGTCTAATGTCGACGTGAGTGTGCTAATTTGTTTTTTTTCAACAACCTGTATCTCTTTTGTTTGCATATTTACTTTGAGATTTATATTTTCTCTTAAGGCAGACATGCTATTTTTAATTCCTTGCCACCTGAGTAATAAAACTTTAAGAATTTCAGAACCGTTGCTTGTTTGTTGCAAGTTGTTCCATCGGTAAATAAGAAGATAGATACACAGTGAATTCACAATTACTCTTATGAAGATCCGTTGTTGTAAATTTCTATCTTCTCGTAGTTTGATATTTGAACATACTCATATTTGACACTTACACCACATTCGGATCGAGAACATATTTGCAATTTTCCGATACTTTAAACTAATATCTGTTTTTTATGTGAAGCAGAGAAACATGCGAATGCAAAGAGCAAAAGTGAAAAGTTTCCTCCACCACACCAAGATGGAGCGCTCGGTTTTCCTTTAGGAGCATCACAACACATTGATCCTTCATTTGTTCCTCCTGATGTCCCCTTCAGCACTACATTCACCTATTCGAAAGAAACAATTCAATCTCAGTCTGGTCCACTGGTCGAGACCACCAGCATTGGTGGTCGAACCCTCTAAACCTCCAACAAGGTCCCAAAAAGAAGGAAACAGATATCTATGAAAACCGGTCGATCTCGCATTCGCTGACGGTGTCACGGACTCTTACTGATATTGAAGCATATACTTAAGAGTTCGATATCCATTTTTTAACCCTTTTTATTCTTTTAACAATTCTACGAAGCTCTCTAATTTGTCGGGACGTTGAGGATAAGTTTTTCCACTGTTTTGTATATTTTAATTTCTTAAGTTCTTACATTGCCGTGTTCTAAACAGTACACTGTTAACATTAATGGAGACTACATCAGGTAAAATAACACTAATAAATGCTTCCAAATTCATCTTTTTGTTGGATATTTTTGGTATATTATATGTTCGTTTTATCGTCCATGTTCGGGATCCATACTCCTCCCAATAATGTTATAGATAAGGGTTAGTATTTGTAGACACTAAATTTCAACCGCTCAAATTATAATATATATATATATATATATATATATATATATATATATATCATATTATTATATAATAAATTAACATATATACATATATGTTTATTTACATTTGTATTCTTAGTTTACAGGTCCAACACACGTAAGCCCAAGTTACACCCTAAGTGACCCAGACCCAATACGCACGTAGATCAGTAGGCTAGGGTTTCAGAATCCTAGCATTCCAAGTGGCGACGCATCACCCATGGTCAAGACTCCCACGACTGCACGCCTCTCACCTCCAACAACTCGAGCTCCCCGCCGGTATCCTCAGAACAGTCCAACACGCCAACAAACACAAAGCATTAGTGTTCTACTAGAAATCAAACACCAAAGACAGGGGCATTCGAACCCTATAAATACATATAATCAAGACCATTTGGGGGACGGTTTTTTATATTAAATGCAAGCAAAATTACGAGCAATATCAGAGAAAAACCGAAGCATTTTTTCGAATTTTTGAGAACATACATACGACTGAGAAATATTGGAGAAATACAGAGATTCGGTTGGAGGGGTCTCGAACAGAAAAATCAAGAAAGGGAGCAAATACAACGAGGAAAACTATAGAAAAAGCAAGGATTCGAACCCAACCAGATTCGAATATTGAAAAAAAGAAACCATCAAAAGCAAAAAATCGGAGTGCCATTCGAACTAAAAAGAGGAGGAAAAGTGTACCTTTTTTGCAAAAGGTGGCCACCGTTATCTCACCGGAAAAAAAAATCGGAGGTAAATGAAAGGGGTTGTGGTTCTCGTGTTTGTAAGTTTTGTTATTCTTTGTCTGTTTGCTTTCTAGAACATCTTTAGGCTCACTTAATTTTCTTTTATTGCACCATTTATTGCTACGTTGATTTTGGTGCGTTAGTACTGTGCACCTGGACACTTGTTTTATTTCCCTTAATAAACAACTTGGCTTTTCCATTGTCAAAAGATATCACCATGTCTTCAAGTTTTGGGCCAAAATCATCTTAGGCCCTTTAATGTTTGTAGAACTAGTGCTTTGGTCATAAAATAAAATGTAAAATTTCCTTTTCAGGTTGCTCATTCGTGTTATGTTTCGTTTTAATCCCTAATCATATATGTTTAAATATTTAGAGTTGTGACCGATGATTTTGTGTAGTATTTGTTTTAGTCATTCGAATTATTACTATATTTAAAATTGGGCAATTTATACTTTGAAGTTTTTATATTTATTTCAATTTGCATTCTGACCATTATCTTTAATTTATTATTTAGTCATTCATGTTATTGCTTATTTTATTTTATTTCTCATTTTTTCTTTTCCTTCTTTTAACGTCTTTTATTTTTAATTTTTTTATTTTTTTATTTTTTTTAATTTAACGTTTTTCCTTTGTTTCGTTTTTTAAACATTTTTATATATAACATTTTTTTTAAGATTTATTTATCTATTTATTTTCCCCTTTTATTTAATTAATTTTTATTCGATGTTTTCTATTCTACCATCTAACATGTCTTTGACTCTTTTTTCAGTAGTAATTTCAATCGATCAAAGGTATTTAATTCGAAATGAATTTTTAAATTTAATTTTAATTTTAATTTTCGCAATTAAGACAACCAAAAATTAATTGGTACCGAAAGGGCGGTTCAAGGGTGCTAATCCTTCCTTTATCGTAACCGACTCCCGAACCCGACACGTTTCTAGTACAACGTAGATCAGGTAAGATGGTGTCCGATTTACCTAATATCTCTTTAAAATGATCGGTGGCGACTCCAATTCATTTAATCTAAGTCGAAGCCCAATTCCGGGCCCAACCGAAAGACGGTTCCGACAGTATTAAACATATTTAATATGTATATATAACATGTTATGATAATCGTATTTATCGTGTTTGAATCATCTAAGGTGGCGTTTGGTTTGCAGAAATCCCTTGGAATTAGAGGAAATTTGAATTCAATTCCACCGCTTTCTCATGTTTGGATCAAGTTTTTAAAGGGAATTGGAATCCCTCGTGACTTCAACTTTCTATAAAATGAGGGAATTGAAATTTGACCATACTACCATCATTAATCTTTTGGTAACTTATTCATATATTGAATAAAAATATTTTTTTATTATTTTGAGTTTCTAATTCATATATTCGGGTCGGGTCGGGTGAAACTTTATTTTGGTCGGATCGATCATTTTTTTAAATGTGATATTCGGGTTGGGTCGAGTTCGGGTTTAGGGTGAAAAATACCCAATAAGACCCGAAAATATATATAATTTTACCTTATATATTTAGGAATAATTACAATAATACCCCTCTATATATATATATTTTCAATTAAGTCATTGTGTTTATTGAATAAAAATAATTTTTTATTATTTCGGGTCGGGTGAGACTTTATTTTGGTCGGGTCGGGTCGGGTCGGGTTTTTTTAAAGTGTGATATTCGGGTCGGGGTCGGGTTTAGGGTGAAAAATACCCGACCTGACCCAAAAAATATATAATTTTAACTTATATTTTTAGGAATAATTACAATAATACCTCTCTATATATAATTTTTTTCAATTAAGTCACTGTTTTTATTAAATAAAAATAATTTTTTTATTATTTCGGACCGGGTTTCTAATTCATATATTCGGGTCGGGTCGGGTGAAACTTTATTTTGTTCGGGTCGGGTTTCGGATGGAGGTTCCCTTGTTCTCGGGTCGGGTCGAGTGGACCAAAAACCCAACACATGACCATCCCTAATTGGGATGATTTTAAATTATGATATTTATTAACATGATTTTTATAATTTATTGAAATGAATAATCAATCAATAATATTAAAATTTAATATTTTTTAAATTTTTATAATATATTGCTACATGTAATTTCTAAAACAAACTAAAACTAAGCAAAAAATAAAACAAGAAATACAATCCTGTCATTTTACATTACTGAAATCAAATTCATCTGACATGTCTGTGAACCAAACAGAATATAGAATTGGATTCCAATTCAATTTCCTGCCAACCAAACAGAATATAGAATTGGATTTCAACTCCTAATAGATTTTAATTCTTTCACAGATTTTAATTCCCTCAGAAATATTCTAGCGAACCAAACGTCACCTAAGAGGCTAAGAATAGTTAACTTTTGAAATAGCAAGCTTTTTATTAAAATAATGATTTTTCAATGTTATCTCTTCCCTTGAAGTTAAAGCAGCCCTTTAATTGAGAGAACCCTTGAGCAGAAGCGATTACAGTTGCTGAAATGTTGCTTTCAATACTGCTGTGCACAGTTGGACTACCGACAATAGAATTATAATCCCACCACTATCTTCCCAGCTGAATTCATTCATTTTGCATCAATGGGATGGGACACCTTTCCATGCAATGTCCTTTTAAATACAGATCTATAAATAAATGGATAAATCACATTATAGGTCATTCAATTTGCATCAATGGGATTGGACAGCTTTCAATGCAATAACCTTTTAAATTACCAATCTATAAACGAATGGATAAATCACATTAGAGGTAAGCGACCTATGTTAAGCTTGTCTTTTCGGTCAACAGTTTTTTTTATTAAATATTATAAAATAATTATTAAACTTATCAAGTTATCATAAACTGGTTCTTCTATGTTATAAAACTCTAATACATTTTGATAAATTTAAAGACTGATTGTAATAATTTGATAAATCTAATAATCATTTTATAACATGTCAATAAATTTTAATGACCATTTTTTAATTATTTGAAAATTTTAAATACTATTTTGTAACTTTTAAAAGTTTTTTTACTGAAAAAATATTTTAACATAACTAAGTGGCCTTTAATGTACTTTACCCTAAATAAATCAAGTTCTTGGTTGCATCTTAACTTTACCTTAGCTAAAACTCGTTCATATGAAGCTTCCCTTTTGTCCAATATCGATCTCCACCCTTATAATTCATGTATATCATCTAATCTTTATATTAACAAAGAATGTTTTTCTCAAACCCATCAAGTGGTTTCAGTAGTTAAAGAAATATTCTTTTTTGAGGTTTTGATTCAAATAATTGTATATTTATTAATAACTAAAAATACTTCTGAATATATACTACTTTTATAATAACCCTAAAAAATAAAAAAAAATCTCATGTTTTACTTAATGTTTTCTATTAAAATAAAGCTAATCAGTTAAAAAAATGCACCATATATTAAATATGTCATATTAATTATATTTAAAACTATCACATTTTACATAATATCCAAAATTATTAGATATCATGAAAAGATTGGTCCCTTAAAACTTAGGCATAATACTAATAATAGCCCCTCTACGTTTATTAAAATAGTCATTTTGACTCATTTTCTTTTTTTAGAACATATTATCCTTCAACGTTTCAGTTCATGATAAAAAGCTTCCTCTATATATGAAAATCATTAGTTAACACACGATTATCGCTTCAAAATAAGAGTCTTTTTAACCTAAAATTAAACATTGATGGAAAAAAGCCCTAGAAAAAAATAATAAGGGACAAAGTGATTATTTTGTCAAATGATAAGGGTATTTTTATCCTAAAATAAAAATTAGGGGCCAAAATGCTCAAAATAAAAGAGTATGTGACAAAATGACCATTTTGATAAACGTTAGGAGCTAAATTTGGTATTATACCTAAAACTTACCCTGCCAAGAATTGGTAGGTAATACTAATTAGGTACCTTCCTTTCTTTTCTTTTTGCCTTTAGAGTACAAAAGTTTAACATATTTATTTCCTATTGATTTGCTCTACCATTATATATAGTTATATTTCCCAATTAAAGATTTTGGGAAAATGGAGTTTGAAGCAAACTCACAAATAAAAATAAAAGAAACGGGTGATGGTGGAGTTGGATAGGTCTTCATGTGAAAGCAACATTTAATTCTAAGCTAATTACAACTCACCTACCTAATTATCATTTCCCTTTTCCATGTTTTTATTATCCTTCGTTGGACTATATATATATATATATATATTCTTAAAAATAGTATTTTTGGGTAATTTTCATGGGTCTTAATATTACACATAAATTTATAAAATTAATTTATATACCTTAATTAATTATTATAATCTTTATATTAGTTTTAAAACATAATAATAATTATTCTATCATCGAGTCACTTGATTCATGTACTTTAATAATATTAGTTTAAGGGTAAAGTATAGTAATGGTCACTGAGCATTTCTGAAGCTTGCATTTAGGTCCCCCAACTTTTAAAACTTGCAATACAGTCCCCCAACATTTATTCCGTTTGCAATATGGTCCCCCAACTTAAACCACCGTTAGAAATTAGAGTAAATTATATAAAAGGTTATTGAACTTTTCAGACACTTGAATTTAAGTCCCCCAACTTTTAAAACTTGCAAAACAGTCCTCAATTTCATTCTAAACCCCAATTTCCAAAGTAATTCAATTTCATTCTAAACCCTAAATTCCAAAATAATTCAATTAAATTCAATTATGTCAGATTTATTATTATTTAATTTCATCTTATTTCATGTGATACGTATTTTTTTATATAAATATAATAGTATAATTCTTATCTGTTGAAGAAATTTTTTAATTTAAAAAAGTAGTTAGGATATAGAAGAGGTTGAAAATAATTCGAATTTTAAATTTACAAAATGTTATTTTGACGTATAAATAAAAGTGTAAACTACTAGGTTGACAACTTAACTATCTAGCCCTTTTTACTTTTGTCATCGATCTTTTAATTTTATCAATCATACAACATAATTATTTAACTGTTTCAACTAAGCCACTAGTCATTACCAATTGATACAAATGATGAAGTGGCAGTTAAAAGGAATTGAAATTATTATACATTCAGTCTTTATTATTTATATAATCAATTTGGTCCTAAATTAAATAGAATTTAATAAATTAATCATTTAATTAGGATCTGACATGTGTTAGCACATGATCATGACACGTGTCATTGGTGACACATGTCACCACCTAATTATTTATATATGCTATCAATTTGGTCCTAAATTAAATAAAATTTAATAAATTAATCATTTAACCAGGATCTGACATGTGTTAACACATGACCATGATATATGTTATTGGTGACACATGTCACCACCTAATTAGAAGAAAATTAAGTTACAAAGAAGTAAAATTTGGGTCTTGGGCAAACTCAAACCTGAGTCACGCAAATGAAAGATACAGGGTGGAGCCACTAAGCTAACACCATCGTTTGTGTTAAGAGATATACAATAATACATATACTAATAGTATGACCAATGCCAGAAAAAAAAGAATATAATGGAAAATAGAAATAATGAGATTTGAACTTCGGCAAAAAATTTGAAAGCAATAAATGATGGGAAAATATTATATTTTTTACAATAAAAAATATTATATTTGATAAATTGTTTGATAGATTTAATATATTTTTTAAATATTAGTTGATACAATATTTTAAAAGAATAAATTTAAGATTTATATATTTTTAAACTAAATTTAAAATAATTATATTTTTCATATTTATAATTCATGATTATATATATAATCTTAAGTTGAGTATTTCTAATATAATTAATAATTTTTATTTCTTATTAAAAATAAAATATTCAAAAAATATAAATGATTCATACATTAATATATGAATATATTTTTTTTATTTATACATCTAAATATAAATATACATTTATATAAATATATTTTTATTCGTATATTGAAATATTTTGATTAAAATATAAACATATTTTAAATACTAGTTTATACAAGAAAAATAAAATATATCAAAAATATAAATGATTCATACATTTAAATATAAATTGAATCATTTATATTTTCTATACATCTATATTTAATAAGAAAATAAAATTATTGGGGGACTGTTTTGTAAGTTTTAAAAGTTGGGGACCTAAATTCAAGTGCCTGAAAAGTTTAATGACCGTTTATATAATTTACCCTAATTTTCTAATATTGATTTAAGTTGGGGAACCACATGGCAAACGGAATAAATGTTGGGGGATTGTATTGTAAGTTTTAAAAGTTTGGGGACCTAAATGCAAGCTTTAGAAATGTTCAGTGACCATTACTATACTTTACCCTTAGTTTAACTGATGTTGGCGTGATTTTCATTGAATAATAAATTAATAATAATATTGAATATTTCAAAATTAAATTTTAGATATTGAGAAAGTACACGACGTGGCAAAATCAGACGTTTTATTGATTCGTTGTGGAGTTTTATGTTAAGCACCTTTTCTGAAAGATTTTCCGCGTTGCTTTAAGAACGACACGTGTATAGAATTTGTTGGTACCGTTTCCCTTCTATTCCTTCCTTTTCGCTCTGTTTTAAACACACACTGTTGCTTCAGCCCTCCAACTCTGTTGTTTCAGTCTATTCTTCCAAAACCCATCTTTTTATATTCAATAAAGTTTCAATCTTTTCCATGTGATTCAACAAAACACAACCAATTCTTCCTTCTCCTTTCTGGGTTTAAATTTAGTGAAATATACATAAGAAAAACGATATAAATATCCTTTTCCCTCTATAAAAAAAATCAGTTTCAAGGATTATTTTTGTGTTGTTTCTCTTTCCCATGATCACAAAAATGGCTTGAGTTTCGGTTGATCTTTCAAACAACCGCATTTCGTTTTCGACATTTAAAACTTCATAATAAAGCCTTGCTTTCATCCCATTTTCATTTTTTTCTTTGAAGATCTTTGAATTTTTTATTAAAAGCAAAAACATGGGTATTTCTGGGTTTGTAGCAACAGTATTATTATCAACGTTCCTCTGTGTTCATCTCTTTGGTGGATCTGTTATCGGTCTTGGTGTGAACTGGGGCACAATGGCGACCCATAAATTGCCACCGGAAACAGTAGTTCAGATGTTAAAAGACAATGGGATTAAAAAAGTGAAGCTTTTCGATGCAGATTCAAAGACTATGAATGCTCTTGCAGGGAGTGATCTTGAAGTAATGGTTGCCATTCCTAATGATCAGTTGCTTGCTATGAATAGCTATGGTCGTGCTAAAGAATGGGTTAAGAAGAATATCACCTTATATAACTTCAAAGGAGGTGTTAACATTAAGTAAGTCGTTTATTGTTCGAAATTGAGTACAAGTTTTTTATGATTTTTAAAGTTAGAGATTATGTTATTCGAATTCGGACGTGTATATTAGTGTGTTAAGCTTTACACTATTTTTTCACAGGTATGTAGCTGTTGGGAATGAACCATTTCTCACATCCTACAATGGTTCATTTGTAAACACCACATTCCCTGCTCTTCAAAACATTCAAAATGCACTTAATGATGCTGGTGTTGGGGACACAATAAAGGCCACCGTGCCCTTAAATGCTGATGTCTACAACTCACCCTCAAGCAACCCTGTGCCGTCTGCCGGCCGGTTCCGGCCCGATATCAGTGGAACTATGTCGCAAATAGTCAGTTTCCTAGCCAAGAACAGTGCACCTTTCACCGTGAACATCTACCCTTTCCTCAGTCTTTACGGAAATGACGACTTCCCTTTCAATTATGCTTTCTTCGAAGGAGGAAACCCGATTGTTGATAACGGGATTCAGTACTCGAACGTTTTCGATGCTAACTTCGACACATTGGTATCGGCTTTGAGAGCAGTAGGCCATGGGGATATGCCCATTATCATTGGGGAAGTTGGTTGGCCTACAGATGGTGACAAGAATGCCAATATGACTAATGCTCAGAGATTTTACAATGGACTCTTGCCGAGACTTGCAGCCAACACCGGCACACCTCTCCGTCCAGGGTACATCGAAGTTTACTTGTTCGGACTTATCGACGAGGATGCCAAGAGCATTGCACCGGGAAATTTCGAGCGACATTGGGGGATCTTCCGGTACGATGGGCAGCCTAAATTCCCAATAGATCTTTCAGGTCGGAAACAGAACAAGTTCCTCACTGGTGCAAAGGATGTCAAGTATCTCAAACAGCAATGGTGTATGTTCAATCCAAATGCTAAGAACATTGGCAAACTTGTTGATAACATAAACTATGCCTGCACTTTCACCGACTGCACAGCTCTCGGATTCGGATCTTCGTGTAACGGCCTCGATGCCAACTGGAATGCTTCGTATGCGTTTAACATGTATTACCAGGTGCAAAATCAGAAAGACATGGCATGCGATTTTCAAGGATTGGGCATAATTACGACGCAGAATATTTCACAAGGGACTTGCAATTTTATCATTCAGCTTGCCTCTTCTTCATCATCTTCTTCTTCAGGAAGTCCCTTAGTGGTGTTATTAGCCATTTTTACAGTATTGACTTCATATTTTCAATTCTAGTGTATTATTTTTTACAGCCTATTTCTCTTAGATTCTTGTGTCTTGTATGGGTTATTTGTTTTTATATATATTGATTTGGTTAATAAAATCGACCTAAATAATTATTTTTTATCCAAATTTGCAATGAGTCCAGAGGCAAAAATCAAAGCTCTAGTTTTTGGCTCCCTGATTATCATAATGACGGCAGCAAAACGCTGTAGGTTAGCAATCAAATATTAACAGCGGAAAGAGACGCAGCACGGACTAAAATGAAAAAAAGAAACTAGAATTTAATCGTCGTCTCATGCTTATGTTAAAACAAAAAACCTTTAGGGTTTAAAAAGCTGATCCGACCTGTAAAATAAAATGAAGCAGATTGGAGTTAAAATTGTTTGTGATCTGGGTGGAGATAATCCGAAACCGATTCGAGTTCGATCTGTCGTTGATTTGAACATGGAAATTGTAGATATAAACCCGACCTGCACCCGATATAAGAAAGACCTAAACCCAAATATAACTGATAATATGATAATCGAATTCGATCTGCATCCGGCCAAAATGAACTCGAACTCGATATTAACATGGTAAATAACTGGTATTAGCCGACCTGTTATGAACCTGATTTGTATTTAACTCAATTACCTTTTGAAATTTAAAATAAATTGTTAGTTATGATAACTAAATTAAAAAATTTACTTTTTATATTAATTATAATCCTTATATTATAAATTTTAATTATAATCATTAAATTAATTTTTTTTATATAAGTTATTTATTGATCATGATTTTATTAGAATTATATAATATTAATTAAAATATTTATAAGAATTTCATTTTTATGTAAAAATTAATTAATAATTTAAATATAATTTAACTTAAAATTTTAAAAGATATATGTATAAGATGAATTTATTTGAAATCAGAAATTTGAATAACATAATAAATACTAAAACTAATAATTTATAAATGAATAAATAAAATTTATTACTTGAGCTATATTTATATATATATTTAAAATTCAAAGCACCAAATTATAATTCAAGTATAAATATGGTTTATACTTCATCTTCAAATTTTCAAATTCAAATGTAAATTTCAATATGAATTTGAATTTGAATTTTAACTCAAATATAATTTGAATTTTAGTTCAAGTATAAATAGGAAATTTGAATTTATATACTTTAATACTTAAATTTATTAATTTATTTATATATATTTAATACTTTATATTTATATACTTATACTTATATATACTTTATACTTTATACTTATATATATATATTATACTTTATACTTTATATATTATACTTATACTATATACTTATATTTAATATATATACATTATACTTATACTTTATATATATATATATATATATATATATGCTTATACTTATACTATATAGTTTATATACTTTGTGTATATATATATATATATACACTTTATAGTTTATATATATATATATATATATATACTTATAATTATATTTTTATTTTTATTTATATACTTATACTTATACTATCTATTGATACTTTATATAATTATAAATATATAAGTATATATATAATTATATATATTACACACACACACACATATATATATATATATATATGTTGAAGAATCGGAAAAAGAAAATGAAAGAACACAAGAATTTTTAACGAGGTTCGGCAATGTGCTTACGTCCTCGGTGCCTAGGCGGCGCTAGAAGTTTTATTCAATATCTCATAGGTTTAGGTTACATCTCTATTTATAATAAAAAAACCTGGTACATAATTAACCTTGTACCGTACCACGGGGCTGCGCCCCTGCACCCCCAACCCACATAATCGTAACCCCCTCTATGAGACTTTCTTTGTAAGAACAATTGATGTTCGCTTCGCTCACTCCGCTCCATCCCATGTCCTCTTTACCGATATATTTATGAGTCATACCTAACAAATCTCCACCTTGGCGAATATCCTGCCCCTTGGAAACTTCAATGTGGGTTGGGTTACCTTACTTCTTTAACAACTCAAAACATTCAACAAGTCCAAGCAATGCTTGAACTTGTCTATCGTAACTGGCTTGGTGAACATATCAGCAGCATTCTCATCAGTATGTACCTTCTGAAACAAAACCTCTCCAGATGCAACCAACTCTCTGATCTTGTGGAACCTTACATCAATATGTTTAGTTCTAGCACGATACACCTGATTCTTAGCCAAGTGAATAACACTTTGATTGTCACAAAGCAACTGAACTCCACCTTGCTGAACACCCAACTCCTTCACTAAACCAGTAAGCCATAAAGCTTCTTTTACAGCTTCAGCCGCTGCCATGTATTCGGCTTCAGTTGTAGATAGTGCCACAACAGATTGAACAGTAGACTTCCAACAAATAGGCCATCTACCAAGAGTAAACACATACCCTGTCGTAGATCTTCTATTATCCAAGTCACCTGCATAGTCTGAATCTACATATCTTACAACCAAAGGATTATTCCGCTCACTACAAAAAATAATTCCATGTCCCACAATACCCTTTAAGTACCGAAAGATCCACTTGACTGCTTCCCAATGTTGCTTACCAGGTTTAGACATGTACTTACAAACTTGACTAACAGCATAAGCTAAATTAGGACGAGTACATACCATTGCATACATCAAGCAACCAACAACATTAGAATACATAACCTTTGCCATATCTTCAGCTTCCTTATCTGTCTTAGGGCACTGTTCTAATGAGAGCTTAAAGTGATTCGCCAATGGAGTACTCACTGGTTTTGCGCTGCTCATCGCAAACCTTTATAGCATTTTCTCAACATAACCCCGTTGAGATAGCCACAGTTTCCTTGAGTCTCTGTCCCTGCAAATTTTCATTCCAAGAATTTTCTTTGCAGCACTTAAATCTTTCATATAAAATCATGACTCAATAAAGTTTTCAAACCGATAACATCATTCATGTTCTTCGCAGCAATCAACATATCATCAACATACAGTAACAGAAAAATAAAAGAACCATCATCAAGGCTCTTAACATAGACACAACAATCATACTCACATCGGTTGTAGCCAATCTTGATCATATAGGAGTCAAACCGTTTATACCACTGTCTCGGAGACTGTTTCAACCCGTACAAAGATTTCTTCAATCTGCAAACTAAATACTCGTTTTCAGGTTGAGTGAAACCTTCAGGTTACCGCATGTAGATTGCTTCTCTAATTCACCATGCAAAAAAGCAGTTTTAACATCCATCTGCTCTAAATGCAAATCCCAACTAGCCACCAATGCAAGTACTACTCGGATTGAAGTGTGCCTGACCACAGGAGAAAATATTTCATCATAATCAACTCCTTTCTGCTGTGAAAAACCCTTTGCTACCAAACGAGCCTTGAACTTCCCCCCCTCTTTTTCTGTTACTGCTGGTTTCTTCTTATACACCCATTTGCAACCAATAGGCTTCTTTCCCTTAGGAAGGGGAACTAATTCCCATGTGCGATTGTGATTCAAAGACTCCATCTCCTCAACAATGGCAGCCATCCACTTGTCGTTTTCCTGACTAGTAACTGCATCATGAAAGGTAATCGGATCATCACTACTAACAGTAAGTGCAAAAGAGACCAAGTCTTCAAAACCCAATCTGTTTGGAGGCTTTATATTCGTCCGTCTCACCCTGTCTATGGCGAGACTATAATCCTGCAAATCATTCGTAGTGGAACCACCAGAAGTCGTTTGAGAAATTTCTGTTTTCTCAACTGGAAACTGCTCGAAATCCACCACTGTCGTGTCTTTCTTCTGCTGCAACATGGACTGTTCATAAAAAACAGCATCTCTACTGATCACAATTTTCTTCGCAACTGGATCCCAGAACTTGAATCCTTTGACACCTTTCTTGTAACCTAGAAAAATGCACTCCTTCGATTTTGCATCAAGTTTGGATCTTTCATCAGCAGGTAGATGCACATAAGCAGGACAACCAAAAAACCGTAAGTGATCAAAACTAACATCATGACCAATCCATACCTCTTCTGCAACTTTCCCAGCCAATTATGCCCTTGGCGATCTGTTGATAAGATAACACGTCATGTTAACAGCCTCAGCCCAGAAGTATTTGGGAATCCCCACATTCAACCGTAAACATCTGGCTCTTTTATTCAACGACATGTTCATCCGTTCCGCAACACCATTCTGTTGTGGTGTCTTACGCACTGTAAAATGCCTCTTAATCCCATGCTCCTTACAGAACTATAGAAACTGTGAATATGTGTACTCCGTACCATTGTCAGACCTCAAACACTTGATTTTTCATCTTATTTGGTTTTCTACCTCAGCTTTCCACAGCTTGAACTTCTCAAAAACATCAGACTTATGTTTAAAAAAATACACCCAAACTTTCCGTGAAAAATCGTCAGTAAAGGTAACATAATACCTAGATCCACCCAAAGACAATATCGTGGAAGACCCCATACATCCGAATGCACATAATCAAGAATCTTTTCAGTTGTGCACAATACTTGCAAAAGTCGAGCTTACAACTTTTAACATCATGCAACAGATTTATTTTATGTAATTCAACCATACCACGTTCACTAAGATGAGCAAGACGCATATGCCACAGTTTGGTTGTATCATCACATGACTCAACAGAATGAACTCCACCTACAACGGTACTCCCTAACAATCTGTAAATATTCCCTGCAGTCATCTTTCCTTTCATCACAGTCAAAGCTCCTTTAACAATCCGAATGGTTTCCCTATCCTCATCAGCCTTAGGGATAAAACCATTCTTTTGTAAAGTGCCCAAAGAAATCAAATTCTTCTTCAAATCTGAGATATACCGAACACCACTCAACGTCCGAACAGAGCTATCATACATCTTAATTCTGACCTCACCAATACCAACAATATTGCAACATCGATCATCATCCAAATAAACATAACCATAATTAACCGACCTATATGTCGAAAACCATTCCCTATTTGGCGTGATGTGATAAGAACAACCAGAATCAAGAATCCAAACATCCGTCAATTGAGTCGTTGAAATAGAGAGCATAT